GCGTTCGAGCTGCCGTCGGTCGAGCGAGGGGCTTTCGGGTGGCGGGGCACTGCGGGCGAAATTTCATTCAAAAAAATTACTGTCACCCTGGCGGGGAACCCGAACTTTTCTCTCTCCTCTCTCTTGTCCATCACATCACGCACCCTTTGATACCCTCCCATTTCCTCTCGGTCAAACAACTGATTCAAGATGGCATTCGGAAAGCTCTTCACCTACCCGGTAAGAAAACAACACTGCCACTGCAATTACTTTTCAACTTCCAGATCTCGAAGAATGTTGTAGCTAACGAAGATCGTCACCCCTCCAGGCTAACCCCCGCACCACGGCCATCCGCGCCGTCGCGAAGGCCAACAACGTCGACCTCGAGTTCATCGAGGCTGACCCTACCAAGCCCTCCGTTGAGCACCTCAAGGCCAACAAGCTCGGCAAGGTCCCCGCCTTCCTCGGCGAGGATGGCTACCCTCTCTCCGAGTGCATCGCCATTGCCATCTACAGTACGTTCTGAGTCATCCTTTACCGGCGTCGCTTTCCGAAAGCCCGCGTATACACGAAAACACCATCCACAATCCGCGATATGATGATCAAGCTTTTTCAAATACAGTTATCCCTGTCTGAATTTCTTTGTTGACATAGTCTAAATTTCTGAACCTACCATTGACACCGTTTACCTCGTTTGGACAATATCTTGGGAGCAGCAGCTAACGAGATCCCACAGTCACCTCCCAGAACGAGAAGACCACCCTTCTCGGAAAGACCAAGCAGGAGTAAGTCCACCAAGAACTCAGCCTGTATCGAGCTGTGAAGCAAGAAGCTAACAACATCTCGCATAGCTACGCTTCCATTCTCAAGTGGATGTCCTTCGTGAACTCCGAGGTCCTCCCCCCCATGGGCGCCTGGTACCGCCCTCTCCTTGGCAAGGACTCCTACAACAAGAAGGCCGTTGAGGACTCCTCCAAGGTCGCTCTCAAGGCCGTCAAGGTCATTGAGGAGCACCTTCTCAGCAACACCTACCTCGTTGGCGAGCGCATCACCCTCGCTGACCTCTTCGCCGCCGGCATCATTGCCCGTGGCTTCGAGTTCTTCTTCGACAAGGCGTGGCGCGCGGAGAACCCCAACATCACCCGTTGGTACTCTACCATCATCAACCAGGACATCTGGACCGCCGTTACCGAGAAGCAGGAGTTCCTCGAGACCCCCAAGCTGACCAACGTCGCTCCCAAGAAGCCTGAGCAGCCCAAGAAGGAGGCTGCCCCCAAGGCCGCTAAGCCTGCCCCCGCTCCCGCTGCCGAGGAGGCTCCCGCCGCCCCTAAGCCCAAGCACCCCCTTGCTGAGCTCCCCCGCGCCACCTTCGACCTCGAGGAGTGGAAGCGCCAGTACTCTAACATCAAGAACCACGATGAGGCCATGCAGTGGTTCTGGGACAACGTCAACCTCGAGGAGTTCTCTCTCTGGAAGGTCAAGTACAAGTACAACGACGAGCTCACCATGACCTTCATGTCCAACAACCTCATTGGCGGCTTCAACAACCGTCTTGAGGGTTCCCGCAAGTTCATCTTCGGATGCGCTGCCGTCTACGGCACCAACAACGACTCCGTCATCGAGGGTGCCTTTGTCGTCCGCGGCCAGGACTACAAGCCCGCTTTCGATGTCGCTCCCGACTACGAGAGCTACGAGTTCGAGAAGCTCGATGCTTCCGCCCCCGAGACCAAGAAGTTCGTCTCTGACTCTTGGGGATGGGAGGCTCCCATCACCCACAACGGCAAGGAGTACCCCGTTGCCGACGGCAAGGTCTTCAAATAAGCGCATCGCTCAATGGAGTGATCCAAAATTCATGGCTTATGGCAGAGATGAAATGAGTTTACGAATCGGCAAGGAGGGTGTGCAGATGATGTTATGGACCCGGAGAGGAATATCCTGTGCGTAATGCCCGAGGCTGTGTGCCAAGTTACTAGGTCTAAGTCACTAGGACGAGGCAGAAGATGCAGGTTGTTCCTGATCAAAATCAAAAGAACACTTTCCAATTTCACTACAAGGCTCCACGTGCACATCATTGAATTGAATGTGATGCTTCCATAAGCTCATGCTAAGGGGTATCTCGATGCTACCAAGTCTATCTCCATGTCCTGTGCCTTTTTTTCCAACCTCGCGTATGTCCAGGTTCCTCCAAAGACTGTCTCCTTGTCCGTCTCCTACGCTGAGCCCTGCACATTACTCTCCTGCTGCGGCTCCAGCCTATATTCCTCGTTCAGCCGGAATGGATTCATGCGCATATACGCGCTGATATCAGACTGGTAACAGAGCTGGTTGAGGTAATCGTGGACCTGCGGCACCACGTAGCCCGGCTCGCTGGCGTCGCCAAAGAACTCTGGGATCCGCAGCAAGTTGAACGGCTCGCTCCGCGCCTTCTCGAGCGAGTCGTCCACAAGAACGGTGTTGGTCTGGTCCCACCGGCCGCCGTACGCGGCGTCCGGGTGCGCCCGCTGCACGTTGGCCTGGGCCCAGACCATCTCCAGACGCTTGTAGACCTGCACGCGGAGCTTGAAGTCGGACTCGGATAGGCCGAACTTGTCGCGGCCCCAGACGGCCAGCACGCGGCGGCAGTACGAGGCCCTCTCTTCCTGGGTGTCGGCGGCGCCGAGGCCGCCCTTGAGGAGGAGCTGGTCGCACATGGACTGGACGTTTTTCGGCTGGGCCGAGGACCAGACGACAACGTGGAAGGTGTCGAGGCAGTATTGCAGGAAGCGCTTCGCGTGGGGCCGCTCGACGAAGCTTGCGGCGTTGCGACGGTTGGGTCGGAAGAGGAGGGTGCCGTTGAGGTCCATTACGACGAGGATCGGTCGAGGGGTGGGGACGAGGGTCGGCGGGAGGGAGGCTTGCTGAAGGTATTGCGGCGTGGGGTTCGGGACGCCGCCTGATGCGGCGCTGGGGGATATGATCTTATCACGGTTGTGCGGCGCCGCGGCACTGTTGAGAGAGAGCATGTTAGTCTTCGCGACGGCCACGGAGGAGAGCAGTGGACCGCAAAAAGACGGGATGGAAAAGAGGACGAGACTAACGCTTTGCGAGGTCCATTTGGGATTGTGGATTGGTCTCCAGCGGCCGAATGCTCGGGGAGAGGGACTGCGGAGTTTGAGGCGAAGGGGATGTTGGCGGCGTTGCCGAGGCCCGGTATCGTGAAGCCGTTACTGCTCGGCTGCTGGTTCGACGGGGTGACCATGGCCGGGGCGGGCTTGGTCCACCATTGTAGGTCGGACATGCCTTTCTGTTGGGTGTAGACGAGCCTTGAATTGCGCGGGGAAGAGGCGGAAAAGGTAAGGTAAGGTTCGTTATCAGATTCGGGGAGTGTGTCTTTCCGAGGGAAGTCGCGGGGTGGGCGACCTGGACGCTTGCGCACGACGGTTTGGTAGAAACAGCGTTGGTGGATCTGTTGCGATCTGGCGAAGATCAGGGGAAGAGAGGATTGCATGGATGGATGGGCCAAGTTATGAATCGGAAGGCGACGTCAATTGAGCCGAATGTGGAGAAAGATTAGTCTGGTTGCTTCCGTAGCGAGTGGGCGTAAGTCGAATATACTAGGTATTCGAAGCGTATTCAGGGTCTTGTTTGTGTTGATGCGATTAGTGGAGAGGAATTTGTTCTTGCTGGAACATCCATCGCATTGAAAGGAACTTTGTGAGGCAGGTGTTATCGATAAGGCAGACAGACATAGTTCTTATCGATACGAGGTCGTCGGTCACTCAGACCCACTGAAAAGTTGCTTCGAGGCGGGCGAGCCTCCCCCATGTGAGTTCTGCACATTTACCTTACAACCGAACCATACAGTGTACCTCTCACCTTCACAAAATCAGCGAAAAATAACACAAAATGCTGTCCGGAAAGAGAAAGCAAGGTTTTTCGGGCCTTCAGCGCCGCGTGAAGCCTCGTAGAGAAGCGGAACCTGAAGTCGACGAGCAGGTCAGCAGTGAGCCTGAGGAGATGGGAATTGATGGAGATGAGATGAGTGAGGACGAAGATGACCAGGATATGGAAGAAGATGAAGAAGACGAAGAAGTATTTACCCCAAGTCATAGGAACACTGTATTCATTACTAACAGCCCAAAGTCCGATGCCTCACCACCGCCAAAGAAGTCCAACATCGACATCTCATCAGTGTCCTTTGGCGCCCTCGCAAAAGCCCAGGCCTCCATGCCCGCATCCAAACGTCGCAAGCGCGGCGCATCACCCTCAGAAGACGAAGACTCCGACTCAGGTCCCGAGGAGATTGGCAGGAAATCAAAGTACGGCGCCGACCACGTCAAGCGCTCAAGCAAGCATGCCCCGATGGAGCAGTCGAGCAAGAAGCCCGTCTCCCGCCGTCGCGAGATCATCGCCGTACCCAAGATGGAAGTGCGCGACCCGCGCTTCGATCCGATGAGTGGGCCCGTCGACGAGGGCAAGGCGCGGAGGGCGTACGCCTTCTTGGACGACTACCGCAAGGACGAGATGAAGCAGCTGCGGGCCGAGATCAAGAAGACCAAGGACGCGGACAAGAAGGAGGAGATGAAGAAGGTGCTGCTGTCGATGGAGAGCAAGATTAAGGCGCGGGAGCGCAAGCAGCGGGCGGACGACGTCATTCAGGAGCACAAGCGCAAGGAGAAGGAGCTCGTCAAGGAGGGCAAGCAGCCGTTCTACCTCAAGAAGTCGGAGCAGAAGAAGAGGTTCCTGATGGACCAGTTCGCGGGCATGAAGAAGAAGCAGGTTGACCGTACAATTGAGCGAAAGAGGAAGAAGGTTGTCGGAAGGGAGAGGAAGGAGCTCGATAAGATGCAGAGGAGACCTAGGGAATGATCGGAAGCCGCCAGCGTGCTTTGATTCGGTATATGAACCACTGAATGCATTATGGAAGGTCTTTAATTTTGTCTATAGTCCTCCCTGTATGGTGTGTCTACTACACATTGATCGTACAGTTATGATACAAAATGGTACAAAGTGGATTGGGGATCATTCTTCGTATGCCCCTTTTAAGCATTGTATCCGTTCTTCTTTAGACTCTCCTCAAACATCTCGCGGCATCTAACTTTGCTGCCGAGCTTCGCGCAAAGCAAGAACGCACCACTCAGCTTGCGGTGCAGACTGTAAGTCTCCTCGGGCGGCGGCGCAAGTCTCTCGTGGAGCATGACGGGGATGAGAGCCTTGACGCGCTCTGTGATGGTCTGGTCTTGGAAATCGTAGACTTCGGGTGCGGAGCCGAGGAAGGGCTCCGCGAGGGTGAGCACCGATTTGACGTGTGCGTCCACCATGAGCTTGCTCTCGTGGCCGGTGAGGTATCCGAGGCTCTCAGATAGCGCCTTGACTCCCTCTCGGTCGGTTCTCGAGGCCGCGGCGAGAAGCTGAACGTACTGGGTGACAAACTCGTCGGGGTACTCCCGGGAAGCACCAAAGTCGAGAAGCTCGAGCTTGTTGGTCTCGGCATTGTAGAGGAAGTTTGTCCAGTTAGGGTCAGTCTGCATGAACTTGAACTCGGTGATCTCCCTGAGACAGAGACGGAGGATCTGGGTACCGATCCAGTCCTTTTGCTCCTGGGTGAAGGACTTGACTCTGGTGACGCCCACGCCCTCCATCCAGTCCATGGTTAGAACGTTCTTTCCGCAGGCCTGCAGATGAACGTCGGGCACGAGGAAAGTGTCTGGTTCATCGGCCAAGAGCTCCTTGTAACGGATCAGGCACTGCGCTTCTCTCTCGTAGTCGCATTCCCAACCCAGCTCAAGTCGGGCGTTGTCAATGGTCTTGTTCAAGTACAGACCCTTCGGCAGGAGCTTAGTGGCGGTTAAGAGAATGCCGAGGTTGTCGAGGTCAGAATTGATCGAGTCTGCAACTCCAGGGAACTGAATCTTGACCGCGACCTTGCGACCGTTCTCCTTCAAGGTGGCCCGGTGAACTTGTCCTATGGACGCGGCAGCAATAGGCTTCTCCTCAAAGTCTTCAAACAGCTCGCGCCATTCCGCGCCCAGGTTGGCCTTGAGGACCTTGTCTCTCTGCCATGCCGGCATGTAGTCGGCACGGTCCTGCACTCTCTGCAGAACCTCCTGGATCGGTCCCGGGAGCATCTTCGTGTCCTGGAAGCTCATCATCTGACCCATCTTCAGAGCAGCGCCGCGCATTCTGGATAGCTTTGCGACAAGTCTTTCCATATTGCCGGCACTGAGCAACACTGAACCCTCACCTCCGCCGCCAAATGCTCTGCCGATGCTCTCGGTAATGGCACCACCCATCATTCCTGCTGCCAGACCGCCATAGTTCCAAAGTCTGCTCAGACGTGTGGCGGGTACGCTGGATTCCCTGAGAGCGTATGCTGGGGTTGATGTTTGGTCAACGGCAGCGCCCAAAATAGCTTCGACGGGAGGTTCATCTTTTGGTGCCGGACCGGTAGGAGCAGCGGTAGCAGACGCAGGCTCTGCAGGTATCGGCGCTTCACTCGTGACAACTTCGGGTTGAGGAGTGGTCTGGGAAGTGCTTGGAGCACTCTCGGGGGTAGCCGACTTCTTTATCTCGGCATCCTTGGACAACTTTGAGAAATCAACAAACTCGGGGAGCTTCGTTGGCGGGAGCTTCTTCCGGGGACCGAAGTCAACCTTTGGTTGTTCTCCCTCTTTACCCAACAACTTGGCGGCACGGGTGCTGTGGAAGATGTTGACGTTGACACCTTGAGGGAGGTCGTCCGCCTCTTCAGAGACAGGGGCCCCGTACGGAGCCGCCGGCCTGCTCACCGAAGACCCTGCAGGAATGGCGCTGTCCTTGGGCCTTTGATCCAATGGTGATGCGCCTTGAAAGGGGAAAGCCGAAGGATTGGATTGTCTCAGTTCAGAGAGAACCGACACTGAGCTTGGTGAGATACCAGATGCACTGTTGAGGTTGGGCTGGAAGTTGCTTGACGGTGTGAGTGAGGGATGACTAGCTTGAGATGTTGAGTTCTTATTCGACGGCGGCGTCTCATTTTTAGTTGGTGTCTGAGCTTCTGGGGCCTCAGAAGGGGCTGGCGCTTCTGTTGCGGCGTCGTCTCGTGTGTGCTCAGGTGCTGTCGGGGATTTGCGTGTCAAGCTAGAAGCTTTGGTGAAGCTCTCGAGCTGTCGGCCTCTCAGTGCAACATGTCTGGATGCGACAGAGCGCGATGCGCCGAGCACAGCTGCCAAATCGACAGCAAAATCGGCGAACCTCATCGAAGAAACGATCTGTTCAGCTATGCTAAACGCATATCTTTGCGATTGCCCTTTGACGTCTAGGTGACCTCGTGTCTTTCAGGAAGTGCCGGGATTATCAAATGGTCCTCGTCATGGATGGAAAATTGAGTGATGGGCATATGCATATAAAAGGAGAAGAAGAAGATAGCTCCAAAGAGCTTGAGGTAGTACCATGCATATAGCAGGGTTATGCGCCAAGCCATGTCTATCAAGCCACCACCCATTTCCAAATAGTTCAACAACGGTATGTATCGACGAATATAAACTTAGTCACTGTCTCGATCATATGCTTGTCTTCCATGATGGGAGGTACTTCTTTTACTTATATCTATGCTTCCCATAAGCTATCCTGTGGTGGTATCTTTAGTCTATCCCTATTTCCCAGTCTATTATCATTATTCGTATTAGTCATTTTGGCGTTGATTCCCTTGTTACCGAGGCACCGCCCTTCAAAAGTGATCCTCTTGCCCTCATTGGTGTCGCCTTCAGAGACGAAGTATGCGGGCTGCCTGCTCTTGGGCTGCCAATCTTCCCCCATAACCTTTGGGCGGCCGGCGTTAGGCCACCCGAAACCCGTGAACTAGACGGAAACTTGGGCACCGGTGTCCTGTCCAATTTTCCAGTCAATCCGTTCTTCACAGATTCTCTCTTCGAATGCGCTGCGCGCTCAACTAGACGGTGATGCAAAGTCTCTCGTTTTCTGTGTTCTTGCAGCTTGAACGGGTTTGGCGTAGCGTCGCCAGGACCGAGGTTGATGATGGGCGCAGGGAGAACTTGGTCGTCGTCGTCTTCATCATCTACAAAGGCGTACCCATTTACTCTCGGCGTCTCTCCGCCCCCGACAGCACTCGAAGCTTGGTCTTCTTTACGAGGTTTGCCAGCAATCGCGTCTCTCACAGCAGAGAGCGTCGGAGATGACGGCCTCTCTGCGGTTTCTGGTTGCGGCACCCTTGTGTTTTGGTAGTTGATCGATTTAGGCGGCATCATCGACTGGGCCTGCGCCCTCTGAGCCGGGCTCTCGTAGTCATCGTCCACACCATCTGGGCCGAACATCAAGTTGTTCTTGGGATTGGCGTTCCAACTGTCCGGTCTGGCTGGTCTGTCATCCACGTCCTTGATGGCCAGTCTGTCCCTTTTCCACCCGTCGTCAACCAAACTCCTTGTCTCCAGCAGTTTGGCTTCGACCTCCGCCTGTTTGATCATCTGTTTTGAAGGCAGTTTGTTCCCTCGCCAGATCCACTCGTACTTCTCTGCCTTCTTCTGGTTTTGTTTGTCCATGAGCTTGTAAAAGCTCTCATTGTCCTCGCTGGTGTAGGTGGCCTGGAAATTGGCCAGGCTCATGTTCGTGTCCACGGCTGGCTTTGGCGCTTCGGATACCGTCGATGCCGGTGTATCAGCACCGTATGCAGAGGGCGTCCGTCCACCGTTATTAAAAGACATAGGCCTTTTCACCCTATTCCTTCCTGGCGTCATCACACGCTCTAGCCTCTGGCCAGCATTGGAAATCCATGCCTTATCTTTTGATTCGAGAGCGTCGAGATACTCTTGCTGGGTCTCCGCCTCAAGAAGTCCGGGGAAGAAGTCGCGTGCAATGATTTGCGAAAGGGCGTCGGTGTAGGTATCTTCGTCAATGACCTTTTTCGGGCGTTTGATTTTCTTCGCGGCGGGCGGTGGTGGCATCAATTCGAGGTCGGTCCGCTTGCGCACAAGCGCGGTTGATGTGCGTTCTTGAGGCTCCATCATCGACAAACAGGGGCCGATCACGTTGAAAAGTCTGCGTTGAGAGGGGTGTAAAAACACAAGGAGTGCGCCGTCAGCGCCATGGGGTGGGAAGATGTCGCGTTGAGAGTTTGATGTCAGATCGATGTGCTGAGGCCAATCTGAAAGTCTGAGTTGGGACCAAGTTCGGGTCCGAGTGACGTGGGGCGGTTCCGATAAGCGATAAGAACAGCCATGCATGCCGCGATTATGCAACTATCGAGACTATGTACGAGTACCTCAGGCTTCCCCGCCAATCCCGTCCAAGGGGTGCTGCGTTACGTACAGCCTGCCCGGAGGTGTAAGTCGTCCGTACTCCGTTAAGGTACCTACCTACCTTCCCAGGCATCCGTAGTGGCAGATAGAAGCTCAATCCTCGCGGGACGGGAGTGGAGGGAGGGGCCAGACCATGGTGCCGCCCTTTCAGCGCCCCTGTCGGACTCCTGAAGTGGCAACTCAGTGCCACCCCGCTGCAACTGTATCGCACCGTGCGGTAGCAGCGCACTGTTTCCTGTTAGCTCCGAATACTGAAGAGGGTTTAAGGGCCGAACCGTCGCGAAAGGAAGCTTTCGAATCCGACCCAAGCCCGGCAACTTCAGCCTTCGAAGAGCTTCTGCTGCATAGCAAATTTTGCTGCAACCACCTCTTCTTTCCCGCCCCCAATTTTGCGATTCGACTTGGGAAATCGCACTCGAAATCTCAAGCCCACGGAAACGATAACTGGAATTCCCACTGTTTCGTGTGCGAACGACAGCAGGAGAAACCCCTCCATCGTCGCTGGTCTCTACCTGTGATACGGATACCCCACACTTTGGTTCTGCAGTATAGTCCACCGTTGCTGCCGCCATGTCTACGCCGGAGGAAAAGGCGACAGCCTTCAAGAACCAAGGCAACAAGGCCTTCGCTTCTCACGATTGGCCTGCTGCTATCGACTTCTACACCAAGGCCATTGAGCTGAACGACAAAGAGCCAACGTTCTTCACCAACCGCGCTCAGGTTCGTTGCCTACTTGCTGCGCCGAGGCTGCATAGTCGAGTTGCTCGCGTGACTAACACAATCTTGGTTCGGAATAGGCAAACATCAAGTCTGAAGCATACGGCTATGCTATTGCGGATTGTTCAAAGGCGATCGAGCTCAACCCCAACTTCGTAAAGGTGGGCAACTTCGGACACAGTCAACGAGCCTTGTTTGCTGACGTCGGTGCGACTTTAGGCATATTTCCGCCGAGGCCTTGCCCAAACCGCCATTATCAGACCAAAGGAAGCTCTCGGCGACTTCAAGAAGTGTATATCGCTCGACCCGAACAACAAGGATGCCAAGTTGAAGCTGGACGAATGCAGAAAGATTGTTCGCAAGTTGGACTTCTTCGCCGCCATCGAGGTCGGTGACGAGCCGTCAGCTGCGGAAGGTCTCGATCTTAGCACCATTAGCGTCGAAGACGACTACGATGGCGTTAGATTAGGAGAGGAGATGACACAGGAGTTCGTCGACGACATGACGGAGCGTTTCAAGAACGGCAAGAAGATCCACAGGAAGTATGTCTACCAAATCATCCTGGCCGTCAAGAAGCTTGTCTATAACGAGCCGACCATGGTGGAGATGAAGATTCCTGAGGGCACACAACTCACAGTCTGCGGTGACACACACGGTACGTTCCTGCGCATCTCATCCAGTGCCAAAACACTTACTTATAGCCAGGCCAATACTTTGACCTCATGGAGCTTTTCCGTCTCAACGGAACGCCAAACGACAAGCACTACTACCTGTTCAACGGTGACTTCGTCGATCGTGGATCATGGTCTTGCGAAATCGCTCTTCTGCTCTACGCATACAAGTGGCTCCGACCTAACGCTTTCTTCCTGAACCGTGGTAACCACGAGACCGACGATATGAACCGTGTGTACGGTTTCGAGGGCGAGTGCAAGGCCAAGTACAACGAGAGAATCTTCAAGCTCTTCTCGGAGAGTTTCTCGGCCTTGCCCCTGGCAACTCTTATCGGCACCAAGTACCTCGTGCTGCACGGCGGTCTGTTCTCAGACGACAAGGTCACTTTGGACGACATCCGAAAGCTCGACAGACACGCCCAGCGCCAGCCTGGTCAGGCCGGTCTCATGATGGAGATGTTGTGGACGGACCCTCAGGAGGAGCCCGGCCGTGGCCCGAGCAAGCGCGGTGTTGGTATGCAGTTCGGCCCCGATATCACCAAGAGATTCTGCGAAAACAACGGTCTCGAGGCCGTCATTCGCAGTCACGAAGTTCGCATGGATGGCTACGAGGTGCAGCACGACGGTCGTTGCATTACTGGTATGTTACTATGCTCTCATGATCGTCTTTGACCTGGAACTAACTGTCGTAGTGTTCTCTGCGCCAAGATACTGCGACTCCACCGAGAACAGGGGAGCGTACATCAACGTTGGCCCCGATTACAAGCTCGACTTCAAGCAGTTCGACGCCGTTCCTCACCCGGATATCAAGCCTATGGTAAGACATACCCCCTCCTCCTCCTCCTCCTCCTCCTCCTCCTCCTCCTCCTCCTTTCCCTTGAGCTGCCGCTGACCTTCCACCTTCAGGCGTATGCCCAGAGTTCTCTCATGTCTTCTCTGATGTAGTTTGATGATATGCGGACGGTCGTCCGTAGGGTATGAGATGGTATAGTTTGCATCCGCAGCATACATGGTGCATGTGATCGGCGCATATAAGGGGCTGGGTGGCAGCGTGGGTTTGGCCATGCGGATAAATCGGAGTTCTTGCCCTCAGGGCGTACACCATAACCCCGAATCTAGAATAATACGACGCTTGGGTGTTTGGCCACAAAAGCAGTCCTGTTTCTCGATCTCCGTAGCTCGACCAAGACGTAGGCTCATGACGACCAAAGCTTGTCCTGGCCATCGGTACCGACAATGGCGCCCAGGTAGTCAGAGCACTGCTTCACCCGGAGAACTTGCCGGCTGCCTTGGTCCGAGATGCCTGCCCACGCCGTGATAGCGGCGGTAAAGGGGCTAAGGTCCTGCCGGGGCATGCGCAGCCAGCATTGCGCTCCCTCGACTTTGAGTATGTCGATGGGAATGGCGGAGCCTGTTGCGCCCAGGAACTGGCCGAGGGCGGCATTGCAATACAAGCGTACTTGAAGGTTATCCAGCTCGAGTGCCTCTTGTGATGTCGGAGACTCGGAGATGAGTTCCAACTGAGTGTAGGAAAAAGCCGGGGTCTTGATGGTGCATGTGAGAAGCTCATGGAATTTCTGGCCCGTTGCGCGCGGCGTGCTGGCGGGTGCTTCGCCGGCTGATGAGTTTTCCGTCGTCATGTTGGCTTTCCCACCCTCTACCAGATTCAAAAAGATGCTCTTTCTTGATTCTTTTCGCACTGGCGACGGATTCTATAAATCTTGGAGATTTGAAGAGATATGTGAGAGCCGGCAGAAGAGAATTTCAATGAGATGGAAGTGAGTATTAGCATGTAATGTGATTCGAGCACGGGATCGAAGAAGCTCTGGGGGTGGGTCTGCGCCAAAATCAATCACTATCCATGTGCCTTGATATGTGCATATACCGCCTAAGGCTCTTTACGATCAATAGAACCATGCCTTTCATATGGGAGCCCCACAATTGCCTTTCAGCTGCTAGAGGCACTTCAGCCATCTCTTCCCAAGAAACACCATCGATAAAGCTCAAGCTCTTGCGACGTCCACCCTCACTTTCTCGACACGCTCCTCACCCGTCCGCTCCTTTCCGAACACCGAAGACAACCTCTCCGATCGCAAAAGACAAAATCTCGAAAAAAAATGTCGGCCGATAACTTCGTCGCGCCCGGTCAGCAGCGCTACCTCCGCGCCTGCATGGTCTGCTCAATCGTCATGACCTACTCCGTACGTTCTGGCCTATTCCTCTGCAACAATGGGGACCAAGAGCGACTGGGTGGAAACCCGATAACTGACACTTTCTTTGCCCCCCCTATCTAGCGCTTCCGCGACGAAGGCTGCCCCAACTGCGAAGAATTCCTCCACATGGCCGGCTCCCAGGACCAGATCGAGAGCTGCACGTCCCAGGTCTTTGAGGGCCTCATCACGCTCTCGAACCCGAAGCGGTCGTGGGTGGCCAAGTGGCAGCGCCTGGATAACTACGTGAGGGGCGTCTACGCGATCAAGGTCTCGGGTCAGCTGCCTGACGAGATTCGCAATTCGCTTGAGGAGGAGTACAGGATACACTATATCCCGTCAGTAACGCCCCTCTCTTTGGATACTTCTGTCTTTTTATTTGCGTGGAATACGAGAATGTAAAGGATGGTTGGGCTTTGGGTAAACTTTTGACTGACTAGATTACAGGCGCGACGGAACGGAGACTGAGGTTGATGCTTGAGATTGGCTACGAGTTATCGAACCATGTTTTTTTTTTCTTTTACATACAAGGCGTTTACGGGGAGTCAAAGAAGGTCGGTAAGGAGTCAGGGAAGACTCTATTCAGATGAAACAATTCTCAAAATGGTATCTAAAAGTGTAACCCAAGTTTCGCCCATGCAAGTCGTTGAACCTCCTTTTTTGTTATAATGTGATGCCCCCCTATTGTAAACCAAAACGCCTGTCGACGCGAGACAAAATCAATCCCCTGACCAAGAGTTGAGATCACCGCTGATCCGTCTTTTGCTTCTTGAATGCAAACCCGCCGAAACCGGATCCCCCGTCTCTTGATCGTTTCCCCTTTTGCCTCTCCATGTCTTCCTTCATGATCCTTTCCGCCTCGCTCATCTTTTTCGGTTGCTCAAAGGCAGACTTCTTCGCGCCGCCCGCCAGCGCGTTCTTCTTGGCCTGAGCAAACACATTTTTGGTCTGGGGCTTCGCCGTCATCTTGAGCGATAGACCGCCTCCGAGAGACGGCTTCTCGGCAGGCTTATCCTCCGTCTTCTTCGACGCCTCTGTAGGGGCCACATTCGTCGCCATAGTCGCGGCCTCGGGATCGGCGGACTTGGACTGCGCTCCCGTCGGGCTGGGCTCCTTCTTCGCTGCCGCAGGCTTGGCCCCAAATGACAACGACACCTTTTCTCCTTCTGTCCTCTGCAGCCCCCTCTCCCGCTCTTCTTCGTCATCGGGCTTCTCGCCCCTCGCCTCGGCCGCCTTCTGCGCCCTCTTGATCTGCTCCCGAATCATCATCTGCTCAACCTCCTCGTTGCCCCGATCCTGCGCCTCCTTCCTCCTCAACGCCTCCTGCCTCTTGAGCGCATCTGGCGAGTTATCGATCCACGCAATATGTATACCCTTCTCGTTCTCCTCGACGCGACAGATGCCCTCCCGACCCAGGTGCTTCGCAAACTCGGTCAAGCTGGGCCACTTCGTCGCGTTCATGTGCACGTGCTCCTTGTTGGCAATGTACTCTTGGTAAAAGTGGTTCATCTGCACCTGCTTCTCGCCGTGCCCCGTGCGCAGCAGCTGGGTGAAGTCGCGGAGGAACTGGTTGCTGTACTCGTTGAGGAACTTTTTGGGGTCCTCGCCGACGACGATCATCTGCCGCACGTGCGACTCTGACTGCGTGTGCATCTTGAAGCCGTTCTCGTCGCGGCATTGTTTCTCGCACACCTGGCAGTACCAGCGCAGCCGCTGGAGGCCTTTGCTCTTGAGCTTGTTGTTCAGGTGCTTCGTCGAGCCGACTTCTGCTTTCGGCATCTTGGGCGGTCTTTTTCGGGGTGTTCTTGGGTCGACGGTTCTATGGGTGGAAGAGAGGGTTGCTTTCGAGGTACGATGGTAAAATTGATATACCGTAGGTCGGGTGTCAATAAGTGGCCCGTGTGGGATTCGAGGTTGGATTATGTTAACAGAAGAAGATCGTCGCAAAGAAGCAATGAGCCTTTCCAGGATCAGGTTGACGTGTGGATCCTTCCAGTGCTGCTTATCTTATCATAGATGGCAGGGGGCTAAGGCTAAGTCCGCCCAAGAGGTGGCGGGGCAGAGCCGTGTGCGACTAGCCGTCAAACACTGTATCCCACTTCGCCGACGTCGGCCTGACGGGTAAATATTTACGTTCATCTGGTTACTGGGGTGGTTGGTCCGCCACCTTCAGTGCTGGATATTGCATTATTGGCTACGGTTTGTTGATTCTCATGTCCTCAAGTCTACGAGTTAATAAAGTGCCAATGAGATTCATTAGCTCTCGGTCTCAAAAGTAAGGAGCCCTCCCGACCCGCAGATATAGACGAGTCGTGATACTCAAGTTGACCTAATCATGTGCATATGATATATACCTCTAAATAAATCAAGGGAATCTTGTCTTTTCCAGCCCATTCTCTTCATTCTTTCTTCTTTTCTGATCCAACAATGCATGTTCATGCTCCGTTTTAGATGACCCAACCCATGTAAAACTTATATACTTCAATCCGAAAAAAGTAGAGCTCGCTTCCACCGCGCGCAGTTGAAGCGCGCGGGGCATCCGAGGCGAGCATCCTAGTCAAGGAAGGTGAACAGATTTGTGTGCAGGATGTTCATGGCACGAGTAGCATCCCGAGCGTCAATGACGCAGGAGATGTTGATCTCGCTGGCACCTGTGTCACAAAAGTTAGCAAACAGCTCCTCGCATAAACCCTTGAGAACGACTTACCCTGTGAGATCATTTCCAAGTTGACATTGTGCTCGCCTAGCGTGGAGAACATGCGGCCGGCAATACCAATCATGTTCTTCATCTCCGCACCTACCAGACTCAGGATGGCCATGTCATGGAGCACGCTGACGTCGCCACATTCCTCCAGCTCAAGTCGCGCCTTGTCGAAGCTGCCGCCCTCTGAGTTTCCGGCGTGGATGGCCATGGACACGTGGACCTCACTCGTGGAGATGAGATCGACAGAGATCTGGTTGCTGTCGAGGATGGAAAAGACCTTTGCGAAGAAGCCGTGGGAGATGGAGCGCTTGTTGGAGTGCACGTTGATGACGGAGATCTTATCCTTGATCGTGACAGCCGTGGGCCTCTTTGGCTTTTGGACCAAAGTCGGGTCTGCGGGTGCTGACCTTGAGATCTGATGGCCGGCCGTGAGGACGGGGTCGGGCACAACGATGGTGCCGACTCCTCTTGGGTTCTTGACGTTCTTGATGCGGATGGGAATAGGAGGCGAGGCGTGGATGACCTGGTCCATGGTCAGGTGGTGGATGACCTCGGAGCCGTAGAACGTCAACTCGGCCGCCTCGGACGGTGTGATGGAGTGCAGCAGGCGGGCCGTGGGAACCTTTGTCGGGTCTGCCGTGAAGATTCCGTCAACCTCCTTCCACACCTGGAGCTCATCCGCCTTGAGGCCGACTGAGCATAGCGCCGCGCAGAGATCCGTGTAGCCTCGGCCAATGTCACCATCGATCAGGCTTCCCGGGACGTTGCCAAAGAAGCCAGTAACCACGGGTACTCGCTCTTGGCAAGCCGTGATCTTTATCCGTAGTACCGCGGCGGCCTCCTGATAGAAGCCCTGGCTCAGACGAGCCGTGGCATCATAGTGGAACGCGTCACTGAGATCCACATATTCTGCGGCGACGCCCTGCGAGTTCGATTAGCGGCATTTTTGAGACACTGGAAAGCCATGTCCCTTCCGTACCAAGTCCTTCAGCAATGAGGCCATGAACCTGCAGCTGAGTTTCTCACCGAAGCTGATGCATCGATCCTTTGACCTTGAGTTGACCTCGAGGTTAAATCTCCTTGCCGCTACGATGTACTCGACCAGCTCCTGGCACTCATCGCGGATCTCCTGTTCCAAGGAGGCCTGTAATTCTGGGTTGCGCAGGAAAGTCTTGACTGCCGATACGTGGTCCTTGCAAATGTCCTCAATCAGACCCTTGGCCTCGTTCATGAGCTCATTCTGTGTCTCTTCTGGCGTCGTGGGTGCTGCGATGCCCTTGAGCTTGTTAAACACGCCGAGCAGCCTTTGGCGAGGGGTCAGCTGAGAATGAAGGCTGGGTGCGTTTCTGAGTGACTCACCGGCTGGTGGTGCCCTCGATCTTCTTGCCCGTGCTTCTTGCTGAGCAGACGACGACGACCTTGTTGTGAGAAAGGCTTGCACTAAAACATGCACATGTCAGTCAAGTTCCAATCTCACTTGAGAATTGTCTCTCCCCTACCGCACAATATCCGTGGCAATCTGTCGTATGTGTATACTGGATTAGCCTCATGCAGCAATCGCGACTTTCTCAGTAGTGAGTGACAAACCTTGTCTGGAAACTTTCCAACACTGGTTCCGCCGAATTTCTGCACCACCCAGCCATTGCTGGAGGTGTTGCCTATCGTTTGACTGCTCATGATGTATCAATGGCTACGCGCAGAGCCTAGAGTGGTTGGTTTTCGGGGTATGAGTGAGAGTCTGCTCAAGGCGGGCCAAGAAGGAGGGGCACTATGGGCGATGCGGGAATGGGAGAGAGGGAAAAAATAAAATAAAGAATGGCGACAGCTAGACTGGGACGTCAACCCTCTCAAACTGAGTGTCTTATGTGAGATGCGTCACACCAAAAGACGCAAAGCAACACAGAGAAAGTGGTATGACTGGTGCAGGGGAGTTTTACAGAGTGGGAAGAGAGAGTCCACGGCTCGAATGCGGTGGAATTGCTATGTTCAAGGTGGTTTATGTTGCGGTGGATTAAACCAAGGCGATGAGATGGGACGAAAGTGGGATGTGGTGGAGCGACGAAATCGGCGACGCTTGTGCAAGTTGCAGCGTCCAAATTTTTGCGTTTCCGGAACATCGGAGGCGGGCCTGAATCTTCTCACACTATTCGTACCAACCTTACCTACAGAACAGAGACCTTACAGATACATTGCTGCAAGGTCACCAAACAATGACCGCCGTACATTGGTCAGCTTTGCTACGGATACCTACAAGCCTTAGCACTCACTGCCGTTCCTCGGTCCAAAAGCATGAGAACCAGGGAATGACTCCAATGCATGGCTGCAGTCTGCCACGCCGCTGCCGCTGCTACTACCTACCTATCCGTCCGTACTGTTGCTGCCGATCGATGGTTCCCCTGGCCTGACCCGGCTTCTGCAAAGACCTGTACCAGCGAGGGCTCTGAATTGGGCAGTCTGTCCGCGGCAGCCTCTATCCGTGACAATTTCTTTGTCTGAGTCATACGCAGCATCGGTGCTTGACTAACCCATCTGAAGAAGGTAATTTGGACACCAGTGTCAAGCCCGCCCTTCTCTTCAATGTTCCAACAAACTCTAGATAATACCTCCTTACGGGACGGATACAGAACGACCATCTGGTAGTCACTTGTGAACCCCACGGGGGACACTGGGCTGTGTGCGTCCGCTATGCTGGTCTTTTCAAGCCTCTGCGTTGTCTCTGCCGTCTCCCGTCCAGCCAGTCCACAATGCGGTCTCGCAAAGGGCCTATGAAACCTCTGGCAAAGAAAACCTTTAGTTGCCCAATCCCGGCCACCGCGCGGGGATGGCGAATCAGGGACCGGCAGATGACGAAGTGACAGACGGGGATCCCACGCCCCCAGTGAATTAGCCGCATTTGACGCTGCTCTGCATGCCACTGTTCTGTTGCCGCCGCAACTCATGACAACCTAGTTTTGCTCAACACCACTTGGAACCATTCAGGGTCTTGAACAGTCTTATCGGATAGTGAGCAAAGGCAACCTACAAGTAGGTACCCTGCCAAGTCTGCATGCATCTGCGTCTCATCGAAAAGGGGCCACACATTGTCTGCTCAGAGCTCTCCCTGTACGGGTCGTATTATCACTAAATAAGCGTATAAATGCAAGCAAGTACCGTTGCTTTGCCCAGAACCAGACACAATTGGTATAGCAAACCCACGAGAACCAGAACCAAATGCAAATGCCGACCTCGATCGCCACGCGCGTCAAACACCGACCGCAAAAAAACAAATCCCAAACCCCGTCTAGAAATGAACAGGCGCAGAACCCAATGACTTGTCCCTACCAAATGGCTTGGACTTTTTCCGCGCTCATACAATCGTGCAGTCGTGCCATCGTCATCGCACTGTTGTCGACAGTCCTCTTCTGGCATCAAGCCTCTACAAGAGACCGTCTGACAGGCGGCTATCGATACATGGCACATGGTTTGCCAGGTGCGACTAGACTTCGATCTCCTTTCGTCATTGTTGCAACTCGGCGTTGGCGAGCAACGCTTGATTGACCTCCGAGTGCGAGAAGGTGTATTTATCCATGGGGAAGTCTTCCTCAGGCGTCCGGATGCCGATCCCGCTGTCATCCGGGTTGTTTCCCGCCGATATGTCCGCAGAGTCGACCTGGCCTTGGCTTGTTGATGGTGGGAACGGCGCCTTGTCTGGCTGTGCTTGGGGAAGACTTGAGAAGTTGAACTCCTCGCTGCCGGTGCTGAACCGGGGACCTTGGCGATTCGCCTCCTGGGCTGCGGATTGAGGGTTGGCCACAGCTGCCGACGCGCCTGACGTCTTCATTTGAAGAAAACCACCCTGTTCGGCAAGGAAGCAAGTCATCTCGTCGATCCAGCACTTTGTCACCCACCATGAGCCGAAACTCTTGCCTTGAGCCATGGTAAGATCCCGCATCACAGCCGTGCCCACTCTTTGCACGGTGTAGACGATCTCGGTGTGGGATGCGTAAGGGAATCGTATCGGAAGAGACTTGAGGAAGCCAACCCAACGCTCCAAAACATTCTGTCCATTGGGGTCGCCTGCGCTCTCGGCGCCGGGTTGACGGCCGTTTCTTAAGGCGATGTCGCCATAGACCGTCAGGCACTCTACCTCCCAAGGGACGTTCATGGGGCTAAGGAGATCCCGCAGTTCGGTGACAAGCAAGTTGACGAGATCATCCATACCCCGTGTGGGAACACACTCCGCCACCTTGCGCACGCGCACCATCGTAATCCAGTCGAGGTACATCTGATCGCGGTTGGCCGGGTTCGACAACATGTTGGCTGCCGCATGAGCAGTAAGGTTGACTCGCAGAGCTCGGTCCAGAAGAGCTGCAAAGATGGTTGCTGGTGCCTCCTTGGCTCGGATAACGTGGTGCGGTTGTCCCTGGAAAGCCTCTCGAATGTGAGGCACGAGGCGCTCGGAGATGCCGCGTAACGTATCCAGTACTGGTTTGGGCACGACCTGAAGTGTGAGCCCAGAGATGATTCTCAACATGCGTTGATACAGGATAAAGTCACATTCTTCAATCCAAGGGGCGAGGCTAGGGTGGCCGAGGAGCTTCTGAACAGGCATCGTCAACGTGCCCTGGAATGAGGTATAAAGATGGAAGAACGTCTTTTCCTTGCAGTAGCGAACACACTCCACGAGTGAAGTGCAATGCGATCTGTATAGGGCAGACAAGCTCTTGGCGGCATCTGGGTCAGTTCCATGTGGGAGGAAAGGCTCCATCCGAGGTAATGCGAGAGGTTCGTTAGATTGGAGAAGCAGCTCATCGGCTTCCGAGGGGAAGGAGAACTGTAATGAAGTCTTTGATGCCGATGAGTTCAGATGATCCGCGCTGGTCACATTTGGATGGCTATAGAAGCTATGCGACCTCGAAGTGTGATGCGTCACTTGAGCTGGGCTCTCTGGCCGCTTCGCAGCGTCAGGTGATGGCAGGACAGCAGCGGCAGGCTGAGCCTTGGCGGGTGCCGCGCTGAAGCTTTGAGAACGAGGAGGTTCGGAGATAGCCACGGGGATGTGAGGCTCGGGTTCGCGGAGGTCGGGTTGGTCGTCAACCAAGCAGAAGTTGACGTAGTGGTACTTTGATTCTCCTCTCACGCCAAGTCGCCTCGTCTTCAGACCTGGGAAGAGTACGCGAACAAGTTTTCCGAAACTAGCTGGGTTAAGGACCGTGATTCTCTCGGTGGCACAGCGGGACGCGTAGTTGGCATATACCCGGCCTCGAGGTACAGATCCCTTTCCTTTAGTGCATACAGAGTTGATCCAGAGCATGGCAAAGACTTGGCGGGTGCGTTCGGAGTTGGGGCCTCGCTCATTGCCGTGCAGTTCGCCGGCAACATCTTGCAGACCGCGGTGCTTGTTGGCATTGAAGAGGTGACGCATTTCCAGCTCGTTGTTAGCACTGGATCTGGCGGAACTAGACTTCTGCATGCCCATGGCTCCAACCAAAGAGTCGCCGTCTTCGTCACGATCTATCATTTGGCTGTCGTCGGTGAAGCTGTTGTTGGCGAAGCTTTCGGACGGCAACGGGTGCCTTTGCATGGCGTGTTGCTGGAAAGACATCGAGTGGCCCATGTGAGCACTGGACTGGCTCATCGAGGCATTCATTCCGGGTGGCATCGAGTATTCGCGGGCGTTCTGCATCTGGGTAGCAGCTGCATGGAGCATCATCTCCTCCGGTGTGATCCGCGACGCGGGTGCGAGGCTCCTCTGCTGTCTTTGGTCGTTGTTTACCCATTGTGCCGAGTACAGTTCGGGCGCGTCGGCGAACTGTTGTTGTTCCATGGTAGGCTGGGTTGAGATACTGTGAACAGAAGCAGTCGAGGCCCGAGATTGAGGTCTCTTCTTCGCCCTGAGGGCCTGGGCGAGGTGGTCTGTTTACATCAGACCGTCAGTCAAAGAAACACACAGATAGAAATGCTCTTGTTGCAGTGAAGCAAGCTTGGCGAGGCTATGGATCGTACCGTGGTCCATTGATCGTTGTCTGTCAGCTCCGTGAGGGTGTGATGTTATTTTGCGATGAAAACACACGGATCATGCAGGACGCCGTTTCCAAACAATGAAGAAGTCAACGTGCGCCGGTCAAGGACAAATGGGCTCGAAAGAAAAGAGGAGGCGTCGAGGTCGTGAGAGTTATCCGGAATCCCTGCAGCCTTGAAGAGCGCGGTGCGCCGTGGTGAGGGTCGAGATCTTAAAGGACGTGGTCGGGGGGGAGCAGGACCAGAAGCAGAGTGTGGATGTGGGAAATGTTTTGGGAGGCTTTCCACTGTTTTGTTGACTTGACAACCAAGGCTCGGCTGGTCACCTCCACTCAGGTCTTGTTCCAACGGATTGGCGTGGCTGGGCGACTCACGTGATGAGAAAGGCCAGTCATTGCAGCGTGTCACGGTGCGTGGTGCATCCTTCCATGACAGCGGATTGGACGGTTCCCAAACAATTTGGAGCAGCCAGTCCCGTAACAGCTTGGTCGTGTTTGTGTTTTCCAATTGGCCAGTGCGTCCGAGGAGTCTGTGATGTGGGGTCTGCTTACTTTGTCTGTTTCTGGACTTCTGGCTCTGGCGTCGGTACGTACAGACGCTACTTTGTTCCAAACACGCAGAGAAGCCACAGTCAGATCTGTCCACTCAGCTTCAAAGAGCAACAATACTCCGTACCTACCTCCATATTCCCGTCCGTAGGTACTCCTCTCCCAAGGTTGTCTCAGGCCTTGGTCGTCAGGCATCAACATCAAAAACCATAACAGCAAATGCAGCCAAAGCAATCCGGGCCCGAGTCTTTCCCCACCTTCGCTAAGGCAAGGGAGCTCGGGTGCTCTTATCTTATCTCACCAGGCAGGTTAGGTAGGTGAGGTGCGGACCGGCGGTGGCATCCGTCCAGTACGGAGTACCTACATACCCACCATACCCTGCCGTGCCCGCCAAAAACACACTCGCTGGCTGAAGACTCAAGACCGAAATCTGCGAAATCTGACACCATCCGAGCCATGGCCACAGAAAGTACCCGCTAACACGAAGGACATGGATCCCAGGGCAAAGTTGCCCGGCACAAAAAGTCGGTTGCAACTGGGAGCTACAACAAGCTGCGCCGTGCTCACTTCGTCTCGTGCTTGTGCCCCTCTCCAAACCCCCATTAGCCCCGACTGAAGCTCGACGCAAAGGCACCCAGACCATTCCTACTGGCCAGATCTGCACACGTTACGTCGTCATCCGGCCTTTTCCCTTTCACCTGCTAATTCCAACACAGACACAAGGTCACTCAACCCCATACTTTCAGTAATTTTGTCAAGAACCTTACATTCTGACATCGTCAACAGCATCTCGCGGAACTTTCGCAACCTACCCACATCGCTCATCAAACCACTGTCAGTTCCCGCTGCCCGCATCGAGTCCTCCTGCGTCTCCTTTGTTGCAACCTGGCCTGGTCCTAACCCTTATCATAGCGCATTAACGCACAGCTTTTGCTACCCAACCAAGCTTCTATTCAGCCGTCAATATGTCTGCCCAGGATCGCGTCCAGAACTATATCGGCCAGCTCGACCGTGAGGTAACTAAGCCTGCGCCAGCTTCTACAAGACGTTTGTTACACTCTTGCTAACTCGGATGTCTGCGATAGCTGTCCAAGTACCCCGCCTTGAACAACATCGAGAAGTCGACCAACGTTCCCAAGGCCTACGCCGTCATCGGCGTTGCTTCCCTCTACTTCTTCCTGATCATCTTCAACTTGGGTGGTCAGCTCTTGACCAACTTTGCCGGCTTCGTCATTCCCGGTTACTACTCCCTGAACGCCCTATTCACCGCCAGCAAGCAGGATGACACTCAGTGGTTGACAGTATGTTTGCAACTCTCCCCCGCAGTCATCGACGCACAAACCTTACTAACCTCGATTCTAGTACTGGGTCGTCTTTGCCTTCTTCACGTCAGTTTCTCTCCGGCCCGTCGTAGACCTTCGAAGCTAACATATATATACTACAGCGTTGCTGAGAGCCTTGTCAACGTTGTCTACTGGTTCCCCTTCTACTTCACCTTCAAGTTTGTTTTCCTGCTGTGGCTCGCTCTGCCCACCTTCCGGTACGTTCCGTTCGATCCGAACCGCGGTGGCTTCCGCTAACTGGCGACAGTGGTGCTGAGGTTATCTTCAACTCCTTCCTCTCCCCCATGCTCGCCAAGCACTTCGCCGGTGCCTCCACCGCTTCCGGCCTCCGCGCTCAGGCTGGTAAGGCCGAGTAAGTGCGCCCTAGCGCCAGCTCATCAAATAGGTTGATTGCCTTGAGAGATCCGCCTTGGAAGAGTTATACAGCTGGCCCGGCTTCATCCCAGTGGTAATCGCAAAGCTAGTCAAATGGACGTTATGCAGCGACCTAGAGCACAAAGAGGACGGGATGGAGTGTCAGAGGCTAGCATTACCACACTATAAGACAACGGTGATGGCTTGTTTAGGTTTGGTCGGGGGCTCCAGGAACGCGAGAGCCACGACGAACGGTTGAACCAGTTCCTGTTACCCAACTAAAGTTACTGTATGCTACGGAATACGGAGTCAATGACTTCTGCAATGGACTAGAGACAGTACTCGATGCTAAGAAACTATCGTGCGACATGCGTTGCCACCGTCTTGAGGTCGTTCCCTTGGTGAAAATGTGGAAACATGTCGCAAGCGTTGTGCGGGATTAAGAGTGGTGGCTTCGAGACAAAGAGATAGTCAAGATGCGCGATACATGTTTCTTTTGTCATGGGCAACTAAAGCAACAAGCCGTCGAGTGGGCATCTTGCATTAAAGTTGCTAGACCCTGACATAGACCGCATACCAACACTGCGGCTCAGCGTCGTACAAGACCGTCTTGCATGCGTATAGGTAGTCGAGTCAAAAACTGTGGAGGCCGTAATAGGAACGATGATTCGAACATTTCTCATACCAGCCGGCATATCATTGCTGCTGCCCGTTGTCATTTGTTGCCCCATTGACGCAAGAATCCGGGTTGGAATTGCTGCACATCACCGGAACAACTCAACGGAGCAGCAGCAAGGTGACATATTTGGAGCAACCTGCAGCGTTCCTGATCCCATGACTCTCGGCCTCTTTTCGCCTTCTGTTGCAGAAAAGCGGTTCAATCAGCTGGCTAGACCTTGATGTCGAGCCCGCCAGCGCAGGATGTGGTGTAGCGTGAACTCTGAACCAGCAGATTCAATCATTCAATGGAGAGTGAGCGGGCGGCTGCCAAGTTCGCCGCCGCCTGGTCCATGAGCACAAATACCAACCCGCCATAAGGTACCTTAGCCTTAGGGGGGTTTTCAGGGACCTTTGGCGAGGGTAGCCCCAGCGGGCTGGCCGAGAATCCCGAGACGTGGAAACTGGAAAGGGGTCCCCCACACTTTCCGGGTTGAACCCCTTGTTCCTACATCGACTCTGCGGGATCTCCAGCGCGTGTTGGCCGTTTAGAGCCGGCTTGGGAGGGCGTGTGCCTGTAGCCCGCCTCTCAACTGTTTGGGATGTGAAACTCGTAAAACGACAAAGGCTGTTTATCCTCCCTTTCTGAATTCTCCAAGTCCAACTCCGCCATACCTCGACAGCCTTCGTTTGCCCGTTTCTCGTCGACGGCCTTTTCCGATTCTCTAACCTGTTTGGTAGCCTCGTTTCCGCTTGACAGGCTGCACGACGACATTCACTCCGCCGATAGACGCGCTTTAATGGAATGAACCGGTGGATACGGCCAAATTGCGACCTAGGATAACGACATATCGACGCTCGCTGAGCCTACCTATCCAACATTCCCGCCAACACCCGGATTGACCGACTCGCCGGCGAAAGCTTACCATAGCGAGCGGCGTCTCGGCAAGAAGAGATTCAAAGGCATCTGCCCCCGGAGGGCATGTCCACACAATGCAGCTCAGCCCTTTGCAATCGCGACTGGCGGCCTCGCTGATTGCGTCGCTGCTGCTCATCATCCTCTATTATCTTCTATCTACGCCCACCTTCGCCCTCGCCGCGGAATTGAGCGGCGCCACACAGCCAATCCTCGACGATGTTCAATTCGACGACACCCTCGAGCAAAGAGGCAGCCTCGAGCCAACGTACGAGCCCGAATTCACTGCCTTCGATCGCAGCATCATTGGACGAGCACCTGCCGGTGTGACGGGTCTGACGAACAATGTCAAAGTCAACCGTAATGTACCGGGGAATTCGACGCAGAGTTTTGTCTTTGAGGCTATCACAATCTTTGCCAACTTCTTCGATGGGACGGACGAGGCGTTCGTGGTAGAACCTCGCGAGGGCAGCAATGAGTCCATCTCACCGGAGCTAGTCAGCATCGAAGGCGTCAAGCCAGAGGACGAAGAGCGCGGCCTACGCCGCAGGCAAGCTCAGGGAAGGACCGTGTACATCTCAGCGACCACGTGTATACAGCCACAGCGTTCGGCGAACAACACGAAGGAGGACGCGCCACAAATTACAATGTATGTTTCGACGTCTCAGGACAATCAGACACCTGGGCCAGGGCAGAACTCTACTCTACAGAAGGCGATCGCCTTCGAAGAAGGTGCGGCAACCTTTAGCGTCAATGCGACGGGTGACGTCTTCATTGGCATAGGCGCACCCTCAAAGGATACTGACAAGTTTACGGGAGACTGGAACTTTGATGTCGCGGCGTCGACGGACGATTTCTTCCACAGCTTTGACGGAAATCCTGCCGAGCTTCTCTGGGTCGACAGTGACTCTAGCGCCGCACTCCTGACGACGCAGAACTTGACGACCTCTCAGAATGAGACTTTGATTCAAGAGATCATGGGGTCGGAGCTCCCATTCATCATGTTCGTCGAGAACCGAGAGCAGCCCACAACTAAAGGCGTTCGACGTTCCATGTGCGGACTGGAGAACTACGCCCAAATCGCTGCGAAAAAGGGTGGCAAGTTTGGCAACCTCGCCAGCACTCTCATGACTACGAGAGGCGCCGGGAACCTGCCAAAACAACAGTTCTTCTTCAATGGGCTCAACGCGAGTGCTCTTTACTCGGGTATCCTAGTGCGCACCAGCAACTCATCTTCCTCGAGAAAACGTCAAGATGGCGCTCAAAGTGGCGGCGGAGGAAAGGTATTCGAAGCCACGCCATTTGAAACTAAGGATGGTATGTATATGGTCACGGCGAAAGTGCTGATAGTTACTGACTCTGTGTTTAGGAGAGAACTGTAAGATCGTCACCGACCTCCAATTTTGCAACGAGACGGAATACGCTGTGCCCGCGAACTCCAACAAGATGAACATTACTCAGCTTGCGCATTTCTACGACAACTATGCTAGGGACATGTACGCCAACTTCCAGAAACAGCTTGCCCAGGTAGCCTGCGAGGCGCCAGCAGTACAGCAGTACTCCCTCGCGCGAAACTGCTCTGACTGCGAGACTGCGTATAAGAAGTGGCTCTGCTCGGTGACGATTCCGCGATGCGAGGATTTCACGAGTCCTACCAACTTCTCCCTCGTCAGGAACGTCAAACAGACTTTCCCGAACGGAACTCTACTACCAACTGATCAGCTAGCGAACTTTTCTCTCAGGGTAAATCAGCATTCGAGAAACCCCCTCATCGACGAGATGGTCGAACCAGGTCCATATCGCGAGATTCTCCCTTGCGCCTACCTATGCTATGACGTGGTACAAAGTTGCCCTGCGTCGCTGGGCTTCAATTGTCCCACGCCTGATGACGGCATCTTCAACTCAAGCTACGCGGAGCAGGGTGATGGCCTGACCTGCAACTACCCAGGTGCCGTGCACAATCCCTCTGGATCCTCATTGTTATCAGTTTCATGGGGTCTGCTTTCGGCTCTCATTCTTGGTACACTCGGCGCAGCCATACTCTAGGTGTTATGAGAAAGTGCGACAACACCGATCCCGCAGAGGGTGTTCATTTTTAGTAGATTGACGGCCGACTTTTGTATAATGGGTAACGGGCACGACGGGACAGTGTAATGAGGGTTTTCTGGATGAATTGCATGGCATCGGCGTTAATACACGACGTCTACTTTGAAGATGAGGATTAAGATGTCCTCATGTGTGTTCACGGCTGTATAATCCGTGGCGGAAGGGACTGTTAGAGGATTAGAGGGTTAGAAAATCTTGCAGACCATTCCCTCCCTCTATGTTCATACGTGAATCTCAGGAGGCCACCAAAATGGCCTTGCAGGAGTCTGTTCCAATGGTAGAGTACAGTATTATACATTTCGGGTACTGCTCAGATCGATTCCAAGAACGCATTTACTCCTGGAAGCGTCATCCGAGAGAGACTGCCTCGTGATGTCGCTCACGTAGTTCGCTGCCATCTTGAAAATATGGAGAATAGCACCAATAGATACTACTCAAGGGCAACCCCGTCTCTCTCGTGACGAACATCCAAGCGATGTCGTGTTTTCATGTTTCGCCCATGTCGACGACGTCCATCTCCATTTCTCGTGTCGACCTCGGCGTTCCTCAGTCCGTGTGGTGGCCGCAACGGACTCTTGTGTGTCTTTCTTATTGCTTTCTGATCCATTCTATTCGCCCTTAACCATGTCTTTAGGCCTTCGTCCCCTTCCCTGCCTGCAGCTCTGTGACCCTCGCCTCGAGACCCTCAATCTCTTGGCTCTTCTCGTCGCGGATCTCGTCTTGCTCAAGCTTCGTCCAAGTCCAGTAGGCGATTTGATATGTAAGGGTCGCCATCAGGAGGACTTTGAGGACGGGCCGGGTAAACGTTTTGTAAAAGTTTCCCTGTTCGTCGTGGTTTCTGTGTCAGCTTATCGGGCTTCTACCAAAAAAGGGAGTAAGAGCTGTCGCAGAAGGGTATGAATGGGGCCCCACGAACCACAATGGACGGCCTCTTTTCGCCATCTACTGATGTTGAGTAGAGTCGCGATGCTGCGTGGGGCATCTGTGTTGTGCGCTGGGAGTGAAGAGCTCTGCTTAGGATCATGGTGCTGCTGCGCGCGGCCATGATGGGCTGCGGTCTCGTTGGATCGGTCGTCGCTTTCGTTGCAATTCGTGCAGTTTGGGTATCCCGGTTCGTGCAGTGGGGGAGACAATCGCAAATGGCTTTCCTTCTCTAGTGAGGCGTGGTCGCAGATTTCTCCGTAAGTATCGTAGTTAATTCTCGTTTGTAGCTCGTAAGGTCCGTCCGTGTTCCCATGAGCTCTTCCGAAGACTCGAACAATTGCGCCGCGCCGCGCCGATCTGTGGCTGTGCGCGTATCCCCCGCATAACCCGGCAGCGCGTCGACCGCCCTACGGCATTGCGGATCCCGCTCTTGCCTGTGGCACAGCTGGCAATCATCAATGTGCCTTCAGCCAGGGGTCAAGGTACCTCATTCCAAAAGGCTCCAAGGTCCCCTTCTGATTGAGCGGCGCATTGGGCTTCGGCATCCCTGGCCCTGAACAGGCAATGGCCCCGTATGTCTTTTTGACGACACCATGTCCCGAACAATCAGAGGTTAGAGTGGAGGTGGTGGTGGCCGCCTGGAGGTCCTGAAGGGAGAAGAGCAATTCCCGTACGAGAGAAGCCCGGTACGAGAGGCCCGGTACGAATGGTACATGAGCAGTGGAGGGTCCGCGCTTAGCGGGTAGAGGTACCTACAAGGAAGCTAAGGCAGGTGAGTACGGAGTAGGTAATACGGCAAACCACCTTTACCACCTCCCCTCGTGGTAATTAGCTTCAACCGCTCTTATCCCGGAAAGCTCCCTCGCGCAATCTGTCCCTTCAACCAGCTTCCCTTCTCTTCTCTCAACACCGTTTCGACAATTCCGCCTCGCACACACGACCAAACACCACGTTTACCACTCACTATTCTCTACCAGCGCATTATATAACGAGCCAAACTTCGAAACCGAATAAACGAAAATAAGGGAGCAGACCACCAAAAAGTTCGCATCGAGCAGACCACATCGCCGTACCGCCCTTCATAACTTATCCACATACACACATCACCACAATGGTATGCAACTTCCAGTCCAGCCCTCGTCGCACCGCTACTTCAGGATCAATTGTTCTTCACAGGTCTTAGCTTCGTATTGGGAATACAAGCATGGCTCAATCGTGACTTTACTGACACTTCTTGATCCACAGGCGCAAACACCCCAACAGAGACGCGCAAACGCAAAGTTCGCCAAGGACAACGAGTCCCGCATGGGCAAGTCCGAAGATCAGATCAAGAAGCGCACCAAGGAGGCGACCAAGTCCCCCATCTCCCCCATCTGGCTCAGTGAGTAGTTCCCATCGACCTCTTGTCACCTCCCTTTGCGATCAGCTGCAATTCCCCTCTCCAACAAAGTTGTTAGCCGTGCTTGGAAGCATTAACTAATCCATCTTCTGCCTATAGTTCTCCTCGCCTTCGTTGTCTTTGGCGGTATCGTCTTTGAGGTCCTCTCCCGCATGTTCGGCTTCTAATTTGGCCCGACCGATGTTCGTACTCAGTCACAAAAGTCAATGAGGTTGTGAGCGAGACAAAGTCAGCACAATAGGGCAGGCTGCCCGAGCAGTGTGGTGTATTCACACTCAGTTCTTCCAAGCAAGCCTCCTTTATGGACTTGAGCTCAAAACACAATCGCAACACGGCAATGGTTGGAAGGGGGCGATGCGGTCAGACAAGACTTAGCCCACTCTCCCCTTGACGACAGAGAGGGAAAAGGGGGAGAGTATTCGTTTTCCTGGAACACTTGGAGATCCAGCCCACAACCCCAGACAGCACCTTGCTTCCAGTGGTGGGAACAAGTCTGTACAAAAACAAGCCACATGTCGCTTTCTTATCGTTGATGGGAAAGCAAAGAAACCACCCGATTACCGGCGTACTGTATTTGAAGTTTTCCCGTTCATTTCATTTTTCTCTTCCTTTCAGAGGCAGCTGGTTGATAGCAATCTCCTCGATGAAAAGCAATTCACTTTTTATTCTACATGAAAAAGACTTTTTTGGTTCCCTTTTTGGTCCTGACTATACTGCCTCATGAACATGAACGCCAGAGCTATTAACAAAGCCATATGAACACAGCTACAACAACGTATTGGGTCCACACCAGCTTCCTCATCTTGAGAAAGACCGACCAGCTTATGCGCCGAGACCGCGACGCTGGCTGCCAGCATCGTACTTCATGTGCACACCAGTCTGGAACTGCTGTTCAAGTTCCTGGGTGATCTTGTTGATGTCACGCTTGCCCTTGGATCCGGAGGCCTGAGAAGCCGCAGCCACACCACCCTTTCCGCCGCCCAGAAGACGCATAAACTTCTGCTGGCGGGCCGAGCCTCCTCCCAGCTGTCCGACATCCCACTGCTCAGCAGCAGCAACATTGTCGGCAGCAGGCGCCTCGGTCGTCTCCTCCTTCTTCTGCTTCTTCTTGTCCTTCTTCTCCTTCTTGGACTTCTTGCTAGGGGTCTCCTCGGCAATGGCGACACCGCCGTCGGATTCGTCCTCGTCCTCCTCCCTTGAGCGCTTGCGCTTCTTGTCGGACCTCTTGGACTCCTTGACCTCTTCCTCGGCCTCCTCCACGGCCTTGGACTTCTTGCTCTTCTTCTTGTCCTTCTTCTCCTTCTTGGCAGGGGTTGGCTCCTCGGGCTCGGCAACCTCCTCAACCTCCTCCTCAACCTCCTCGACCTTCTTGCTCTTCTTTGACTTCTTTGACTTCTTTGACTTCTTGGGCTTTTCCTCCTCCTCGTCGACCTCCATCTCCTGTTCCTGGGTGATGGCTCTGGCCTCGCTTTCGGCGCGGAGTTGTGCGCTGGGGTTTGGTGACTCGGGTTCCATGTCGACGTCCTCGTCTTGTTCGACAGCTGCGCCGCCCTTGGTCTCTTCCGCCTCTGAGTCAGAATCGGAATCCGAATCCGAATCTGAGGAAGAAGAAGATGATGATGATGATGAGTCCGAGGAAGTATCGGCGTCTGAATCGTTCTCGTCGTCGTGGATCTTGAGATCTTCGTTCTCCTTCTTCGCAGCCAGGACCTTCTTCTCCGCTTGCTCGGCAGCGTTCTTCTACAGAACCACATTGTCAGTCACTCGTTTTCCCGCCGCCATCCCATTTCGTGGACTTACCTCTCTCTGTTCAGCCATGACTGCGTGTCTTACGCGCGCCGCCGCAGCCTCAGCCATGAGCTTCTTGGCCTGAGCCTCGAGCTTGTCGGCCCGTCTCAACATGCGGTTGAACCGCTTCTCGTCCTTGTTGTCCTTGCGCGCCGCCTTCTTGGCCTTGTCGGCGGCCTGGCGAACTGGATCCTGCCATTTTGCGGCACGCTGGACGTTGGCCTTGCGCTCACGCTTGGCTGCCGCCTTGAGCTGCTTCTTCTCCTTGTTGGCGGCCGCACGTCTCTCGCGCTGGTTGCGTTTGCGCTCGATCTTCTTTTCTGTGAGGAAACGAATTGGTTAGCTATGCCGGGTGCAGATTATGTCGGCGAGTGCCGGCGCGCAAAGCGGCTTTGGGTTCGCATTCTTACCCTTGCCCTCAGCCTGAGCCTTCAGGTCCTCAGCGCTCCGAACCACGACCTCTTTGATTGGCGCCATGTTGTCCCGATTGCGTTGCGATGCCAGGTGTTTGGGTTTCTCGAGTGGTGTTTCAGTGGACCGGGCGGCTGTCCCTCCAGAATCTGGCAGAAGTGGCTGGATATTTTTTTTTTAATTCTGCCGGGCTGCGATCGACTGGTGGAGATGTAACGATCAAAAAAATCTGGGCGGGATCCGTTTGTGCCAGGCGGTAAGAGACGACCTTGATGCTAGATCCCTGCAAGGTGGGGTTGTCGATTTTGTTCGATGGACCAGTCTGGGAGATACGTACCGATTTTAGGTCCCTGGAAGCTTTGACCTGCCTTATCCGGAGTGATGGGACAGGATCTAGACTACGGCCCCTCTTTTCCCGTACCGCCGAGGCCCGAGTTACCGGCAGTACGATGCTCCAAGACTCTGGAACTGAACATTTCCGACTATTCTGCAGCTGTATACTCAGACATGGTCTACAGCTAATTCGTGTTTCCATCATAGGTATAGCTTTCACAGGGGTACCTACGCGCCCGCCCTTTCGCATGCAAACGATCGTGTTCCTGGCGTCAGTCACTTCTCTACACTGCCGCTGCCAGTCTCACACCCGCAGCCTGCCTTGACGCCTCCTACGAAGCTCTTAGGCATATACACCATCAGCCAAGGCTGCCTGGCGCGGGACGTCGCGACTAAATCATGCATACCTTACGCCAAGACCTGTCGCCACGCGCTTCGACTTACACGAGATTTCAAAGGTTGTTCAGCCCGGCTTTAGATAGAAACTGCCGTGTCTCGGCGGTACTCTAATGCGTGCTATACATTATGAGAAACATTCGGCTGCACAGCTTCAAATATCGACTTTAAACGTAGGCATGCATCTTGTTTTGGTGTTCAGACGACGGCGTGCCTAACGGTGTGTTATATGATGCAAGTCTAGCATGTCAACTAGGTACTGACAAGTGTGGGTAATGCCTTGGACAGAGTAAGGTACACTCATCATATCCGGCTTGGGCCTATCCCCTTGGAATAGACATCTCAACCTCTCGAGTACAGGCCTGCAGCTGGGTTCCTAGGTCTTGTGAAGGCCAGCGCACTACTGTCGCTGTGCCTCACAACCCGGCCACCGCTCTACATCTTCCTTGCCTCCCCCTACTCCAATTCAGACCTCTCCTCGCCTAGCTTAGATAACTGCGTGTAAGTGGCATCTGCAGCATCTGCAATCCCGCCCTTATGTCGGCTCCAGAGCGAGGCAGAGATAGCAACGTTTACTGTTTCATTGCCGAGATACTTGAAAGTTCTGAGCGGTTTTGCCATTGATAGCGAAAAAAAGAAAAAAAGTTGAGAGTAGTATCTAGTACAGAATCCGTCTTGGTGAATCTTTACTGTCGTATCTTCGTCTACCATTAGATCCCAGACCCCCGTTGAACTCCATGCTAAGAAAGCCAAGGAGCTATCTATTCCTCCACATAATTACATCCATCTTTCATTCCTTTCATAAAGACGAAGTTGAAAACAGGATGAGTGGTGCAAGGAAAAACATAAACAAGTAAGAAAAGAAGAGAGGTGAAAATTTAGGATCCAACCCGTGGACGAATTAAGAATGTCTTATGCGCCCCGTCTCTCCCCCACCTTTTGTTTGCTAAATCAGCCCAACCCAATCCAAAACGCCTGTCTCCATGTCCAGACTATCCCAAGTGCTCGCAACTAGCGTCTAGAACTTGTAATCAGCGGGAGTGAAGTGAGTCTGTGGGGGAGAATTCCCTTACCGTCTACGATGCCCCTGGTTTACGTCCCCGCCCTGGTCGTAATCCAGATAGTACGGCGAATCACCACCATAGTAATAATCCTCCCCGCCACTACTCCCGTAACTCGCAGGCGCCGCCGGCTGGTACGCCTCCGTATAGCTATTGCCGTAGTTGGTCATGTAATACGGGTCCTCCCTCACGTAGTCGTCGCGGCCGCTGCCCCGGCGGCTCTCGTGCTCGTGGCCCCGTGTGATGACGTGGTTCATGTTGATGCTGCCCCAGGGAAGCCCAGACTCGGTTCCCTCTTCCGCGCCGCCGCCGCCGCAGGGCTCGGAGGAGCCTGAAGCGATTTCGTACGTGTTCTTGGCGTTGGACTCGTTGTCTGCGTCGCGGTCTGCCTTTTCCTTGCTATCTTGGTTCTTCTTCCCTGTAGTTTCCTGTGTTAGTTGGGCTGTCGTGTTGGGCTTCTTTCGAGGAAACCCCTATTCGGTGGATCTTTTGGTTTGAGAGTGAATGACGTACTGAATTTGCGTTGAGCCAGTCGATTTTGAATGCGCCTGCGCTCCTCGGGGTCTGTGATTTCTGCCCAGTCGTCGTTCTTTGACTTTGACTTTGATTTTGAGGAGTGCTGCTTCTTGGAGCTTGGTTCTGATGATTTTGAGGCCTTGGATGACATATTGTGGCTGTTCCCGGGCTTCAAACTAGCAAGTGTGGTCTTTGCTCTGCGGTTTTGCAGCGGCTCGAGAGAGAACTGCGGTCACCTGGCCGTGAGAGGATGCCAACTCTTGCGAAAGTGTTCTTAGATCTCTCGTAGAACCGAGTTTATGAGCTAGTGATTCTATGAACACAGCAATGCAAGGCTGACACGGCTACAAGCTTTGTTAGATGAGCTTGAAAACTAGTCCGACGTATTACACTTACAGCCCAGTTTCGCTTGTATTAGAGAAGAGAGTCCCTTGCGTAGATGATCTTAACACTGACTTGGTATAGACCAAGAAAACTTCTGAAGGGTAAGGCGGGTGTGGAGTATCAAAGCCTTGTGGGGGATGGAATGGCAGTATTGCGAACAGGGTGTAAGTGAAAGTCTATGTGTGATATTGCCTGTCTGTGCTAACAGCATCGCCACCAAGCTAGGGAAGAAGCCTCACTCTTATATCGAAACCCAGAATATCCAGGCCACACACTGCGAAAAGCCATGCTACCTTGGACAAGGGAGAGGGAGTGTTCGTACCAAAATTCTGGAGCACCCACTTTCGACGGGGGCATCCCAGGACAGCCTCACGTAACGAGCAGGGCAGATTCGAAAGCAAACCAAGACGCGGTCAGTCGCCCGTGGCTTCCGCGTCGTGACGCAGGACTATGCAAGCCGCCATCAAGGAATGTGCAGAATAAGATTCCCAAGTCTGAGCACAGACGGGGCGGAACACCCCTCCTCTGCCTCCTACATGGATCCCATCAAGCCGTACCCGCAAAGGGGCGGCAGACTACGGGAAGGGAGTGCGAGGAGTCCACGACACCGGGACGAGTTACGGGTGGGGGGTGTGTGGCAACGGCAACGCAGCAGCAAACTAGATGGGGACGGGAGTTGACAGGGGCAGCGACGAGCTGAGGAGGTTGACAAGACTAGAGACCAGGATACTGGTGGAAGGGAAAAGACACAGAATGTTTGACGCGCAGCAGAGCATAGCACGGGAATGAGGCACCGGGTCGGTGAAGCCCGGAGGAGGGTGGATAATCCCCGGGGCGCCGTCCAGAACGATCTTGGAAGGGCCAATGAGAAGCCCTTGCGATGGATGCCTACGTCCCTGGACACGAAATACGATGAGCCAGTGTGGATAGAGATATTGGACGTCCAAAGGGCAGAAGTCGCAATGACTTCCGCGCGTCAGCGGGTTCAAAATGTGCCATTGATCTAATAAGGAACCAGTCCAAGCCAAGACGAGGCAGATGACCAAGTACTCAAGGAGGAGGGATCCGCAAGTTCCACGTGGAATCGCTCCGGTAGGTAAGGCTTCGAATAGGAACCGGGGCCCGGAGTGGAGGCTGGGAGAGGCCGGAGGGAGGAGAGATGAGACGGGGCAGAATAAGCGAGCAGGGCCCCGGCGACGTCGAGGACGATTGCGAGGGCTCTTCGTCTTCTGAACTACGTATTGAAGGGGGGTAGCTTCGTGAAGTTGGTACGTCAGGAACTACGTAGACAAAGACGAGATTCTCACCCAAAATCAACTTTGATGATGGGCGAGTGGGTTGTCACTCTCGAACCAAGCTTTCGCAATCTGTACATGGTTACATGTATCTCTGGGCAACGCAATGAGAAGAGCTCAAACGCGCTGGAGCAGCTTTCGGCCAGCATCTGGCCGAAAGATTGGGGAATCGACAGCTCCAAGTTTGCCATCAGCCCTAGGTCGATAATTAGAGTGTGCCCAATCGCCCAAGAGCAGCGTTGTTGCTTGTGCCTGACGTGCGTGTAAACCAGGGGGGTGCGGGGGGGATTTGAGCTGCATGGCATGCGGATACAGTTTAGCTACTCGCGGCCGCGTAGCTGCGTGTTGACCTTGATTGATAGGACACCTATCACCCGGTACTGGATGCCACACCCATTCTCGATGAATCGAGGCGTCTCCCGCGCAGTCCCCGACCCCAAACCATCTGGTCAGACAGCTTTTGAATGCAGCCATAGCAAACTAGGCCGAGGCCTGCGCCCGTTATCCAAACTCCTCCAGCAAGGCGAGCATTCGGATCAGAGGCATCTCAAAGCTCGGACTTGGTCGTCGAGAAAGGGTGTCGTTGTCCATATGATTGATGAGTCGTAGCTTGAGGCCCTTAGGGACGAAGGACAGTAACCGATCTGCAGTCTTTCGCGCAGCTTGGAGTTTGACACCCTCGTTTTGTCAAAGGTACGTGAGTGCTGACGAAACGGCATGGCGTGTAATTCGTTCGCGTCTGACAGAGGCTGGCCCTGGTGCGCCAGACAAATGAGTCACTCGTAGAGAGCTGGCTCCGGTTTTTCTTATTCCCGTTCGACATTGGCCTCTTGTCTGGGCGAGGTAATAAGCGACGGCCAGTGTACGGAGTAGCGTTGGCTGCGTAGCGTCTTTCCAATCCTTCGAGACGCCGTCTGCGGCCCACGTTCCGAGGGAGGGGAGCGTGCGAAACATCCCGACTTGCCTACGGAACGGTGAGGATTAAGCTTATTGATAGACCCAGGAATTGCCCCTAACGGCCCTCACAGAAGCAATGTTGCGAAAAACACTCGGTTGGTCCACTCCCGATATTAGACCGTCGCGTCAAATGGATTCGTACGGCAGGTTTCTGCCGTGGCTTTGGCTGCCCTCGTGACCGTAAGATCCTGAAAATATCTCAATTGATCAATCAAATCGCTGCGTTATTTCCCGTCCTGAATGTCAGGTGTCGTTGGACGGCAGGCTGGCGCCGGGCGCATATGCAGTGTAAATTCCCGCTGTCGGGTGTTCTTGGGAAGAGCCAAAAGCCTCAATGTTGTTTGGAAACTCAATGGCTGGTCTATTACGGAGTACCTACGTTAGGCGTGGAAAGCAATGTTTGATTGGCGTGATGGCATCAAGGTGGGTCTCGCTGTCTCCTTCCTCGTCAGTCATTGAACACTCCTTCCCTTCCTCCCTTCACTTTCTGATTCAGTAGTCCAAGCCCAGACTCCTTCTCTTCTTCATTTACACTCTATTTACCTAGTCATGTCGAGAAACCCCCGGGGCAGGAGTCTGAAATATCTCGAATGTAGGTACTCGATCTTAAGGACGGCTAACACGTTAATCGGTCCGGAGTGCACCGAGCAGCTAAGATCCATCTTCCCAGTTTCTAACAGTTCGTTCTCTTAACCAGTGGAGATGAACTACGAAGCATCTCGGATGAACTACTAGCTGATGAGTTTAATTCCGAGAAGCATGGGCTTTTTCTTTGAATATGTCATCTTGACACAGCGAGCTTCTGGAAGAACATCCCAGCACTTGTTTAAATCAAACCCTTATTTGTTAGTGTACTTCGTAAGGTAGGTCGCTGATTTGACAGATTGCGTGGCTTAGCTGACGAGTCGTCTGCGACCCGGGGACTTATGCAGTGGACTTCAACATGGGAGCCCAGACCATACTATCGCCCTGGCGGAGATGGGCGGCCGGTTGAGCGGGACTGATTACGCCGCCGTCGTCAAAATTGCTGTGCATTTATCCGTGTTTACTTAACCTTACTGTTGGGTCCAACGATCCCAAGAACTTGCAAAAGCGGAAAACCATCTTCTTGAGTTCTTGCGCGCGGTCAATCCAACCGATGTGACAGTGTTGCAGATGAGGTGCCCTCCTCGATCCTCGGTGACTCAAAATGGCGTCCCACGAGCTTGGTCTCAGCCGTGCAGCTCGATCTAAGGCATCTGCCTAGAAGGCTTGCATTGGGACAACCATTCAGAAAACGCCACAAGTTAAGAGACTCGCTCATTGCGACCATCATAGCATAACGGCAATATTTGGGTCGTATGCGTATCTGTCTTTAAGGTAGTTTACCTGCTATGTGTGTGCTTCCATGCTGAAAAGAGTCTAACGGCGATTTCTGCCTGGAATTTGAAATCAGAGTCCGTCACGAAGCAATAATCTCGACTCTGACAAGTCAAGAAACTGGCAGTGTGACACCTGGCACCCTCTCGTAGACACCGCCAACTCTTTCCCTGGGTGCCGTGACCGGTTCCCGTACCCGCTTATAGGTCTGCGAGGCCGACAGCATATCTTACGATAGATGCGTTGCAGTCAGCATTGCTACTGGTGTGGCGCACGATGAAAATAGCATGGTGTTGTTGCTATGCCATCTTTGGCAGCTTCTTTCGAGGTTCGAACAGATGCATATGGAGAGCTTGTAATTAGAAAGGCGTGTCCTATCACAAGGTGCGTCATGAAGGATAGGTAAGTAGTGAAAGAGTAGGTATATGTGCCATTTGAATCGATATGTTTACTTTACACGCCATATGGCATACCGAGCTCAGGGTTCTCGCCGCCCAGAAGCGTCAACGCCTTCAGCCAACATCGCCGAAGCTTGGATGATAGCAGACATCTCATTGGCTCATGGTGTCAATTTGATGAAAGCAAGTACCTTCGTACGGTTCATCCTGTAAATGGGTGGTTCCGAATTGAGACAGCTCTGGCCTCGGTCATCACTTTCTTTTACTCTACCTTCGGTATTTCAACACAACTATGCAGTGCACAAGCTTCGTATAGTCAACTGCATACTGGTTCAAAAAGTACATCCTCACAAAAAAATACCACATATTCAGTTGTCGGCGCGTATCCGCCATAGGCACCGACTCTCAACGTCACAAACAGCCAGTTGCTACGCCGTGATCTTGCATCATTTAGGAATCCATTGCATACGGCGAACAGGGAAGTTTCAGCAACTGATGAAGTATTGGCCTCGCCCAAAAACAGGCAGAGGCTGGGTGGACTACATCTCGGGGTGGTACTCGAGACTTCGAAATCAAATCGGACTGGGTGCACCTTCAACTTTCACAACCGAGCCTTTCTCACCGTCAGACTCATTCGACATGCGAAGCTCTAGGTATGGCAGTTCCAACTATCATCTACCCCATATTTACAAAATTGGTGGTTGCAAGTCTGCAGAATTGTGGCTTCAGCCTGCATGAGGTTGACTGAGTACATGTGGTCGAGCACAGGGGCTGCCCGGTTGCAATCCACGAGAAAATGTGCCTCGCTGATAACAAAAAACCGCCTTGGGCTTGACGACTTGATCAAGAAGATGTTAGGACAAGTTTTCCCACCAACCTTAATAGCTCTGAAGACAAGCCTTGCTGAAGTCCACCACCGTCGCGCAGACAAACGCCTCAAATGCGGTTCTCGCAACCGTATGTTTACGACTGGTATGATTTGGGCTAGTCTGTTCGAGGTAGAGCAGCCACGTTCAGCCCTACAGAGCGTGGGCTCTTTCAACTGGCTATGAAACCGAATCTGTCCCGACTGTATGGAGCTCCTTATTTGTTACAAGGAACAATTGGAAGATCTCGCAGGCGCTAGGTACCTTTCGATCGAGGGGCTACAGTTGATACTCTTAGTATGTCCTTGTTGTGAGAGCTTCTTAGTAATGGGTATGCTACATCACTTACAGCCTTGAATGTCGTAACAACCTTTCTTCCAATGACCACAACCTTAGTATGACACGTCTATCTGAACAGGAGGAATGTTGAAGGTTGCTTATGCTTGAGTGTTGAGGTTAGTTTACGCTATTAGCAGTGCATCAAGTAAACAGTCGGCAGCGTCCGTCGATACACAGCACCTAGCGGCCCACGAACGATTACGGGGACTACTACAATACCACCAAACAGCTTGAGCTTCTGAGAAGACGTGTTACAGTCTCGAGTTTACCTCGTTGTTCCCCTCAAATTCCAGAGTATGCGTGAAAGAACTCAGCTGGCCAGCTGAGAGAGTAAGCAACCTGAAAGTTAGCCCGACACCTCACGAGTCACCCAGGTATCAGGGCTAGAGAACCAGGCATTTGCTGCATAGACTCAGCTTGTCCCTGATCAGCTCGTTTGACTCCCGCTGTCTGCGTGTTACCACGGTCCACAAGTAAGGGGCTGAGCCACGGACTGGTCACGGGAGGATTGGCTGTTATCCATCTTCACGTTTCGACAACGGCATCTACGCGGCAATCTTTTAATCTGCATGACCGCAAGTGATCAGTTTGCGAGACTAACACAAGTCTAATGATGGCTGTTCATGGCACACTGTTGATGGTCACCGTTCAGCTTCGATGCAGTTCTCTCCAGTGTGGCCAAATGAGCATACAAGTTATTCCAAGCTCAGCCTGTCAGACCAACAACTCATGTACCTAACGTCGTAGCTCATGCGCTAGCAATAGGTTAGCATCGTGGTTACGAGCATTCTCTTCCAAAATAGAGAACTGGGACGAATCGGAGGGCGAGCTGCTCGTCAGTCACGCTAACAATATAAATGGAGAAGCTTCAGATGATTCGACTTGAATACCCAGACAGTCGATGATCGCTGTCCATTTTTCAACCTCGTATCGTACAAGATCTAGGAATATAGTACAGTTGGTGGTGCCAAGTGGTGTGAGGCTGGAAAACGGGACAGTCGCGCAACCCCTAATCGATTTATCGTAGACCCTGAGCCTCCCTCTCGGCTTTGCGCGCGGCAATGCGCTTCCTGAAGCGAGTCTCTGCCCTTCTGCGCTCACCTCCATCCACCTTGTGACCCTGCTTGTGCTCCCACATGCCCTCTGACACGACGACCTTCGCGCCCGTGCCGGCCTTCAGGGGCAGTGCGCTGGGACCAGAGATCGTGTGCGAGCCGCGAACCGTGTATCCTGACGGCCTCGTGAGCTTTTCGATGGCTGCGTTGCTCACGTCGGTGCTCACGTCGGTGCTCGCCGGCACGTTGACGACCAGCTTCTTGTCTGTCTTGGGGTCGCGCACGACCTTCAGGTACGCCTCCCCGTTCTCCACGTGCTTGAAATCGCCGCCGGCACCGAATGCACCCTTCCTGTATCGATCAAGCCAAGTGAGGAGGTAGCGTCGCGTCCGTGGCGGTTCCAAGCCAAGCTCTCTGAGTTGTGTCGAGGAGAGGGTGAAGAGAGAATCCCATGTCGGGAACTTGTCGACGTGCTGGCTCAGGCCGCGGCCGAGAACCTTGAGGAGGGTCGGGACATCGGGAACGAGGGGTATCGGTGACGGAACGGCGGGATTTTCTCTCGTCTTATGAAGCCATCTGGCCTGGCACGTCGGTGCGACGGGGGCCTTGTGGAGGAAGGGGCTCAGAAATTGCTGGATCCGTGGCGCTCTCATGTTGACCTGTGGGAAAATCAGTACCAATTGAACGTTGTGTGCAGAGATACTGGGCGAATTGACATACTGAATGGACAAGTGAGCTTCACAAGCTAGATGCTTGGCCAATTTCGAGCTTGCGTGGGTGATGTCGTCGAAAATCAATGGGTCTCGCGATGTTCCTCGACTGCTGTCTCCCAATTTTTGTTCCGACAGACGCTAAGGATCGGGATAACTTTGCCTTAGGTAAGCTGATCAGCTCGAACGGAAGGAGCCCGTGCATTATGATCTGACCGCCTTCCATATTGGCTCCACCCTGTCACCCATGCTGTCATGGTCTGCCGAGGGTCGTTCTGCCGGAGAAGCTCCACAAAATTAGCAGTGCCCCTCCATCTGTCGCGCTAAAATCCAGGCGTCTTTGGAGGCAATGCGACGCGACTTTGCCTCTTACTGCCTGCTTATCGATTAAGCTAGGTACCGAGGAGCTTCCTTCCTTCCTTCCATGCCCGAGTCGCATGTTGCACTTTACCTCACTCAACTTTTTCTCTTCTTCCAATATTTTCTTTCCAGAGACAACACAATAATCACATACAAACCACTCTCTGATTTCCTTCGTCTTCCCGGTCTTTTCTGCCTGTTCATACAGTTTCGACAAAGCAAGCATGTCTCCAGCTTACACTTAAGGCCCGATGAAGTCGTTGATAAGAGTGTGAGCAACAGTGATCAAGATTAGACATGGCTCGCACAAAGCAGACAGCGCGCCGCTCAAAGCCACTCCCAATAACCACTGCGATCTCATTTCATGGTCTGTTGAATTTAACCTGGAAGCACGCATATTCTGACTAATCGTCTTAGAACCTTGGCCGGTTGACTTTATTCACCAACTGCAGAACCTCCCATCCAACGATGAGGCTCAAACCCAAGACCATGATGCGACTGAGCCATCTGCGAAACGAGTGAAGCGATCGCACGAAGATGTGAAAGCACTCCTTGTGGCTGAGGAAGAACTGGAGTTTGTGCGAAAATGTCCCGAGAAAACACTTCCCTTCACTCGATGCAATGTCGGACCCCATTTGCACCTATTCTCAGACAAATCGAAGGAGTTCAGAATTGCCTCTCGCGTCAAACGACCAGTTCCGTCGATCAACGTCTCTGTCGCAACCCATTCAAATTCCATCACTCAGCGTCTGACAGTTTGTCTGGATGTCTTTGCCAAGAAACGGGAGAAGACTAATGGCGAAGGCGAAGTCTGGGTGGCACTTGATGTCGCTCTGCGCCCTCAAGGAGATTTTCTCTCTGTGGTGTTTTGCTTCAAGCTCTATTGGAATGAAACTAAGACGCCATACAGCTGGTTGCGATCTGTGAATGAGCGCCATATTAGTCAGAGCATCCTCGATACTTTTCTACCTGACGAAACCGCCTCATCCGCCTCAAGTTCGAAACAACAGAGCTGGTCCCCATTGGACTTTTATGAGGCAGCTCATGTACCACCTGCCGAAGATAAGACCGCGCTATCGATCGAAATATCCGAGTTGACAGCCAAACTCTATCCTTACCAGAAGAAGACAATTCAATGGCTTCTCAGCCGAGAAGGTGTTCGCTGGAAGGAGGCAAGCGTGGACTCAGTCTTGAACATCGAGGAGCTACCTATCGTCTCAGATACCGATATCGCACATAGCTTCCGCAGAGCTCGAATCGAAGGGGGATTTGGACAATCCTTCTTCATCAGCGATCTGTACCATGTCGTCACTACCGACCTTACAGCTTTTCAGCAAGCCGAGCGGGACATCCGAGGAGGTATCCTAGCTGAAGAGATGGGCCTTGGCAAGACTCTCGAAGTCATCGGCCTGGTCACGCTACATCGCCGACCCCCGACCGATAGTTACATTGTCACGCGAGAAGGTGAAGAGCTTCTGACAAGCGGCGCAACTTTGATCGTTACGCCAGAGTCATTAAGGAACCAGTGGATTGCGGAGCTTCAACGACACGCACCTCACCTACGAGTCAAGTTCTATCCGGGTCGCAAGAATGTCAACTTTGAGACTGAGGATGATCTCCGTGCTGACTTGGCTTCATACGATGTGATTATCACCACATACCCAGTCTTATCGGCGGAGGTACACTTTGCTATGAAGCCCCCTGAGAGATCTCGGCGCCAAGAGAGAAAGTACGAACGTCTAGTGTCGCCCCTGACGAGAATATCCTGGTGGCGTGTCTGTCTTGACGAAGCTCAGATGATTGAGGGCGGAGTGAGCGGGGCAGCTGTCGTCGCAAGAGTACTGCCCCGTGTCAACGTTTGGGGCGTTACTGGAACACCGGTGAAGAACGACGTCAAAGATCTCCACGGTCTGCTCAACTTTTTGCGTTACGAGCCCTATGCATCGTCTACACAGATTTGGAGAGCTCTCACAGAGTCACACAAGCTTCTTTTCAAGTCTCTGTTCGGCAGTATTGCCTTGCGCCACACTAAGCAACTTGTCAGACACGAGATCACTGTGCCGCCACAAAAGCGATACGTCATTACGTTGCCCTTCACCGCCGTGGAGGAACAATACTATGGCGAGATGTTCAAGACTATGGCCAAGAATTGTGGACTAGATCTTCTTGGTGCCCCTGTGAAGCCCGACTGGACACCAGAAAAGAGCGAGACTGAGATGCGGGCGTGGCTTAACCGTTTACGACAGGCAGCTCTCCATCCTGAAATCGTTCAGATACGCGGCACTGGTCGAAAAGTCGGACCTATGCGGACAGTCGACGAGGTCCTGGATGCTATGATTGAGCAAAGCGAAAACGACATTCGAGCCGACCTTCGTGCCTACCTACAGGCCAGACTTACACGCGGTCAGATGCTCGAAAACAGTCCCAGGGTCAAAGAGGCTCTCGAGATATGGGAGAAGGTCAAGGTGGATGCCATGGATCTTGTCGCCGAGTGCCGACAGGAGGTGAAAGCTGTCGTGGGTACGCTGTCAGGAGAGGTTTCTGTCGCAGACCGAGGAGGGGACGACAGCGATCAAAATGAAGCCGATGAGGGCGCGACAAATGCTCTCGTTGGCGAAGCCCGCACCAAACTTCGACATGCTCTGGAGGTCCTTCATAAAGCGACATTCTTCTGTGCAAACGCCTTGTTTCAAATCAAGAGCAATACGGACATGACTGAACCGGATTCCGATGACTTCAAGAAGTATCAGCAACTTGAAGACGACGAGTATAGCAAGGCTCAGGAGGTCCGACGAGAAATCCTTTCGGAAAGTCATGCCAGAGCAATGTCACTTATGAATAGTCTGGGACGCCAAGCCGAAACACAGTCTTTCGTCGAAATTCCAGAACTAACGTTGAGTGGGCCGAAGGGACTGGAAAGCGCCCCGACGCTTGACACATTGGAAGAACTATATGGTGTCCTCAATGAGCAGGCAGATCGCATTGATGAATGGAGAGAGGCTCTCATCGGTTTGCTCTGTCAGGCACTGATCGATGAAGAAGCGGAAAATGAGGTCACGGGTGAAGAGTTCACCGACTCCACGCAGATCCAAGAGGAACTTATCGTCCATGTGCAAATCCTGCGTGCCGCCATTGCTGATCGCCAGGACGCCATCTCAGGGCTTGAGAATGCGTTGGTTCGGCATGAGACCAACGTTTCACTGACTGCCGCAGGGAATGGAGATGGCCCAGCCCCAGAGAAGTTCCTGGCTCTCAATGACGCCAGAGATTCAGTGAAGCCGTCCCCAATTAGGCATGGCTCACTTCGTCGTGCTATTGCTGAGTTGCGAGGTATTGCCTCAAGACTACCAAAGGATGGCGGCGGCCGGGCAAGCCTTGAGCACGGGATTGTGATCAAGCAGATTCAACAAACACAGGCGCACATCACCGCTCAGACTAAAGCGACTACAGCTTTGGAACGGGAGACCGACCGTTTCACAAGTGCAATGAATGCCAGAGTTGAGTACTACCGACAATTGCAAGCAGTGTCAGACAGTGTTGCCCCCTATGAAGGCCTCAGTGATGGACAGGCCGTAGCTTCTTGCATCGCGAGCGAGAAAAATTACCGCAGGAAGCTAGACTCTTCAAAGGCGAAGCACAGATATCGTGAGTTCTTCCCAATACGTTCGTCCTGATTTGAACTAAAGAAATGTCTTTCTAGTGCTGAATCTCAAGATGGACGGCGGAAAGTCCAACGAGCCTCGGATGTGTATCATTTGCCAGTCAAACTTTACCATTGGAGTTCTGACAGTGTGCGGCCACCAATTCTGCAAAGAATGCATAAAGCACTGGCATAAGGCTCATCAGAATTGCCCAATGTGCAAGAGGAAGCTTCGACTCACCGAACTCCATGATATTACTCTCAAGCCCAGAGAGTTGAAGTTACACGATGAGACTCCAGTTTCTGCTTCGCTCGGAGTGAAGAAAGATGAGATTGCCAAGGCAAATGGCATCTACTCTCAATTCAGCACTGAAAAGCTTGCCCAGATCAATGATATTGAGTTATTAAAGATGTCCTTTGGAACAAAGGTCGACTCGATTGTCAGACACATACTATGGCTGAGGGAATCGGATCCTGGTGCCAAGTCTGTCATCTTCACCCAGTAAGTCCAATAACATGATGACCTCCTTAAGTCTCTCCACTAACACTTCACTTTGCAGATACAAGAGTTTCCTGACAATCCTGGGCGAAGCATTCAACCGCTATCAGATCGGCTTTTCCGCAATCGACAGGCCCAACGGTATCATGAAGTTCCAGAATGATGCTAGCATTGAGTGCTTCATGCTCCATGGCCGGGCAAACTCGAGTGGGCTCAACCTTGTCAACGCCAGCCACGTCTTCCTGTGTGAGCCGCTGCTGAACACTGCGCTCGAATTGCAGGCGATTGCTCGCGTTGACCGCATTGGACAGAAAAATGAGACAACGGTATGGTTGTATTTGATTGAGGGGTCGGTGGAGGAGTCGATCTACAACCTGTCGGTCAAGCGACGCATGGAACACATGGGTCAGAAGTCCAAAGGAAAGTCCAAACAGTCGACTCCAGAGGTGCAAGAGCCCACTTTGGAGGCTGCCAACACTTTGGAGCTAGAGCAAGCTCATCTCAACCAACTAATGAGTAAGGATAAGAATGCAGGCGAGGCGGTTGCGACTGATGATCTCTGGGAATGCCTATTTGGGCGTGTGTCCCGGCGTATTACATCAAGCGTTGCAGAGGAGATTGTTAATGAGGACTAAGCTGTCCTTCAATCTACGGGACAGAGAGCCAGCAAGTATAATGTTTGGTCAGAGAAGAACGAGGCAACGCAGGTTATGAGGCGTTTGGTAGGCTTGGTTTGGAGGGACACCAGTGGTCGTATTGGCACCAATTTGCGGGTAGGGATTCTCAATGTTTGAGTATAGACAACTTCCATCGAGACATGGTCGCGGCGAAGCCCGCTACTAGGCTAGATTACAACACAATTGACATTCAAGATCTTACACTTGAAGAATGGAGAGCTCCAAATTGAGTGATCGCCAGCATCCCAAACCTAAGCCAACTTGCTTCAGGAATGCCGTGTTAGGCACGTCTATGAGTAACTGAGCTAAGTTCAAGGCACCTTACCTCAAGCATTTAGGGGTTTCGTGGTTCAGGGGCCTGTCCCCACCACAACTGGCGCCAGGTGCTGCGGGGACCTTGTTGGAGAATTAGGTCATAATTGAACCCCGGGCTGACAGACAGGCGACCAGCATCGGAACCATTGTACAGCATTCCAACCACAACCTCAGCAACCCCGCCTGAACCTCCTAGCTACAGTCTGATAGCCTGATCATGTTTTGAAAGCCTGACAATCGCCTCGAGGCTTCACGCGAACACGATTGCATCCTAGATGCACCAGCTATACCCCGTACGCCAGCATGTATAGGTCTCGAGGGACTGCCCCTCAGGGGGGCGGCATCCTCGGCGCCTTGAAGGCGACTGAGATGCTGGATTCGAGGCCGACGCTCCCAGCAGGTTCGCGTGTCTTCCCTACCAAAGAATCGCAGGAAAGCTGACAATGGGTAGAAATTCTGGTCGCCATATTAGACTACCTCCCAGTGGCAGACCTGATGCAGGTCGCTCGAGCGTCCCGACGAATGCAGGAAATGGTATACGACGATACAAGATGGGTCACTCGATTGAAGAGCATGGGGTGCTGGGACGAGCAGGAGGCGAGACGCCGTTTTGAAGACGCCGTGAGGAGGAGACGAGAGGCGGCAGAACGTGCAGCGAATGCAGCCAATACAGCCAACAACCAGCCAGGCGCTGCAGCGAACCACACAGCACCGAAACCCACGAGTACGACCTTATTCGATGCTACATTAGAAGAAGAGCGCCGGAAGCGCCAGTCTGTTGCACCACCCATCGATGGATTCGAAAAGATGACCGTGGGAGCCCCGGCGTCGAAGGACCCTTTCAAAGACCCAGAGGCACTATTAGACGTGATCAAGAACGCCAAAAGTGTGAGAGGACACGCGAGGGAAGAGTATGGAAAGATTTACGGCTCACTGGCACCTTTCTACTTTGACCTAGCAAGGGCAAAGAGCCATACGGATCCCATCGTTTTCCAAGTCTTCAGAGACCCCGAGCGACAAGCCAAGATGCTTTCGAATCTCCAGACATTTGCAAAGAGCGACTGGGCGCAGGGCTGGAATCAGAGGGAGGAACGACTAATGACCATGACGAGCATCTTTGAGAGCGCTGTGCTGCGGGAATTCGAGCAGGGTTACGAGTCTTGGGATGTCGACAACAGGATGAAACGGTATGCCCATGTGCTGCACGCGCTGAACGGCGGTAATGCTGGGACGGAGCTCTTTGTGCAAAAACACCCCATCTTCAGCGACGAGGAAGTCTTGAGGGCGAATTCGGTGGACTGCATCAACCGGGCCAACCCAGACGACATCAACCTGGAGCCGTCGCGTATGTTCTTCGAGACCCTACTACAGAAGATGAACGAGCAGGCAGAGGTTATAGAGCGGGTATTCGCGAACCCCGACGTTGTGTTTTGGGAATTGATGGAAAAAGTCAAGGAGGATATCATTATGGATTACATCACGCCGCTTTTTGACGCTGCACATGACCGGAACTTGCAGGCATATCTCAGGGCTGTGGCTGGGGTCTTTGAACAGGGCATGCTTTTCTTTCAGTCGCTGTCAACACCAAAAGCCTTCAAAGGAAGTCTGGAAGAGAAGGCTAAAGAAATGATGTTGAGAGTCTTTGAGCCACATCTCGACCTCTACCTACAAGAGGAGCTCGACTTCTTCACGCAGCACGCCGAATCAGAGGTGGCAGAGTGGGAGAAGAAGCTGTCGGAGCAAGACGCTTCGGTCGAGTCGTTCTACATGAGCAACTTCAACAGGCAAGCGGACAAGAAGGACTTTTTGAGTTCCTTCAAAAAGGTCGTCATGATGCCGGTTACTGTGTTGCCCTCTTTTGGAACCTCGGCAAAACCCGTGACGTCAAACGGCACTGCAGCCCTTTCGCCAGAGCCATCGAGGCCGCATACGCCCAGCCTTGCCCCTGGCGTGGACGGGAGCGGACGGCTGAGTCCATTGCCCGAGAAGGCCCCGACTGATGAACTGGCGGCCAAGGCAGCCCTGATGGCGTCGCGCATGGAGGGTATCAAGACGCTCTTCAGCATCGAAGTGGCGCTTAACCTCACACACGTCGCCAAGACGAGCATGGCGCGAGCATCCAGCTTCATCAAGCTGGGAGGCCAATACGGCGAAGAGGCGCGTGAGCAATGCGAGACCATCTTCGTGGTGATGCTCCGCATCCTCGGAAACAGGCACGTCAAGCCTGGCTTCGACAAGGCCGTGGAGCACCTCTCACACTACAACCCCCGAGAAGTCAGCGACCACAACCAATCCGGCGTGGCGCCCCTGGTGACTTTTATCGAGCTCGTCAACGTGGGCGACCTCATCTCGCAGATGATTGACGTCTTCTTCGAGCAGCAGCTCGCGGGGCCCAAGATCGCCGACAAGAACGACTTCCTCGACCCGTCGGGCATCGCCAAGAAGAAGTGGGAGCAGATGCTCGACGAAAGCGTCGCGGCGGGGCTGAACAAAGGCATTGACGTGCTCATGGACGAGGTCGAGTACCTCCACGGCACGACGCAGCAGCCGACGGACTACAACCCGGAGGAGACGGGCGGCATTCTCGCGGACCCGGGCCCGACGCCGACGGCGCAGCGCATCAAGGAGCTCGTCTCGGCGCACACGCGCATGCTGGTCGGCAGCACCGACAAGTCCATGCTCGACGTCTTCAACGGTGAGGTCGGCCTGCGCCTCTTCACGGCCGTGTGCAAGCACCTCAAGCGCCAGCGCGTCAGCACCGAGGGCGCCATCAAGCTCATTGCCGACATGAACCTCTACTTTGAGTACATCCGCACCCTCAAGAACCAGGACCTGCTGGCGTACTTCAAGGCGCTGAGGGAGCTGAGCCAGATTTACCTCATCGACCCGCGTCACGCAAAGGAGATGGCCACCATCATTGCCGACGGCGACCGCTTCGAGGGCGTGTTCCGCGCCGAGGAGGCCTACGAGTTTGCGCAGCGCCGGGCGGATTGGTATCAGGTCAGGAAGGATGTCGAGAGGGCCATGTACGGGATGGAGTGCTCGTTGATGTGAATAAGCACGATCTCGAGTGCAAGAGCAGAGCAGAAGAGCTGGACGATACAAATGACGAGAAAAGAAAGCCTTGATGTTTTGTGGAGTACAAAAAATAGATCTTCCCAGAACCGATGGGAAGAACCTCCCCTTTGAATAGCCTGTCCTATCCTTAAAAGAATATACCCCCCCGTCCCTTTGCCCGTTTGCCCCTGCCATAACGCCTGTGATGCTACATACTTTTTTCGAGTGTGGAAAGAATTCGTAAAGACTGCGTTGTGTTGCAGATCTAAGCTCCAAAGTTGAGCTTGCGAGCCACCTTGGCGCCCCTATCCTCGTCAACCATTCCGGGACGCCGCTTCAGGTCCGCGCCCATCTTCTCCTCGCCGCCGCCTTTTCTGGGCAGTTCCTCCTTTCGTGAGGGTTTCGGCTCCGTGCGCCACCAGTTATGGTTCAGCATGTCCCTTGCGGTGATGCGCTTCTTGGGATTGAGGGTGAACGTCTTCATCAGGAGATCGACACCTTCGGGGCCCACCGTGCCGAACATGGCCTGGTAGAAATCCTTGCCCTTGACGGGCTCGGCATCATCCGGCACCGTGTAAGCGGGAAGCTTGGTCACTCCGGGCCAGTTGTCCTCCGTTGGCGTACCGACGGCACGGCAGATGAGGGAAATCTGTTGAACCTCGGTCTCGGACGGCATGTACGGCGCACGAATAATGAGTTCCGCAAAAACGCATCCGACACTCCAGACATCGACGGCGCCGCTGTAGTGCTTCGCGCCAAAGAGCAATTCAGGCGGGCGGTACCAGCGCGTGATGACCTGGTTCGTCATGACCTGGTACGGGTCCGCGAAGCTACGCGCGAGACCGAAATCAGCAAGCTTCACCTCGCCGTCGGCGGCGATGAGCAAGTTGTTGGGCTTGATATCGCGATGCAGGACAAAGTTCTCGTGGCAGAACCAGACGCCGCGGGTGAGCATGCCCATCCAGGCCTTGATATCTGCGGCACCGTAGCGGACGTTGGCCGTGTCTTTGATGAGCATCTCGAGGTCGCCCAGGGGTAGGTACTCGAGGACGAGGTTGAGGTTCTGGTCCTTTGAGGAGAAGACGGAGAGGAGGGAGATGATGTTGGGGTGCTGGAGCTCTTGGAGGTGCTTGAGTTCGCGGACGGCGTCCGGTGCCATTCCTTCTTGGTACTCTTTCTGGACCTTGATCTTCTTGATGGCGACGAGGGAGGAGGTATTCGATCGGAGGTGGCCGAGGAAGACAATAGCGTAGGTACCCTCTCCGAGTTTCTTTCCTGTAGGTAGGTGCTTGTCAGCGAGGCTCTTTTCTGTCACACCATGCAATCCTTCAGTGGTCTCAAAACTAACCCTTGACATATTGCTTCTTCTCCACCTCGTTCATCTGCTCGGCGAGATCCAAAGTCGGGGCTGTCGTCGGGACGGGCGCGGCCTTCTTGTCCTTGGATGGCTGCGGGGTGCCGTTTCCTGAGGAGACCTGAGCCGACGACACATTGCGGAAGGGTGACCCGATAGCCCCCGCTGGCTTCAGCGCGTCGGCGGGACGAACGACGAGTGGTGATGCCGACATCGTGGGTGGCCGTGACTGATGTCGTCGCGATACAGTCTTGGAGTTGATGGAGGGACGAGGCGACGGCTGAAGTCAGTAAGTCGTAGTAGCCTTGTCAGGCGCACCGGATGATGATTGGCTAGAGGTGCCACAGCTGGGATCAAGCCACATTCCGGAAGGTGCGCCCCTCCCGAGCTTGAAACCGGGGCCGATTGGTTGATCTCAGCTTTGCATCACAGCATTCGACGACTCAACCCTGAAGCTCCGTGTGTGCATTTTGACTGAATTGAATTGCAGCAAAGTTCGGACGACAGATGGCAAGTGTATTGGCCGGAGGAAACCTCGGCGATGCCAATACACGGTACCAAGTCTTTCCAGATCTCCAATGTTCCATCGAACGCCTTACTGCGCAAAGCCACACAATGATCCAGCATCACCAGATCTTAGTTGGTTGTGTTCTTTTCGCTATCGAACCTTGCGCTCCTTGCGCCATCTTCACCTTGCGCGGCGCGAAGATCATCAAGTGACATGGGCGCGGGGCGCGGAGCGGAAGTTACCATGGAGCGGTCCCCGAACCCGCCAGACTACCTATCCGTAGAGCTGCTGTACGGAGTACGGAGACTACGTATTGGGGGAAGCACCTAGAAATTGCGGCGGTGCAGCAGAACACATGCCCAACTCGGATGGATCCGAGGTGGTGGTGTTGTCAATTGTTGGTTCGCGGACATGGTTGTTCCCCGTCTCTCCGAAAGCTGTGGCTGCCAAGGCTGAACATGCACAAATGAGTTCAAGGCTCTCTCCCTTCAGGCCGTATGTCAACGAGAGTAAGCAACCAGCAGAAGAGGTGTGGAAGACTCAGAGAATTGCAGTGTGGTCGATTCATTGATTCCATTCTGACCTTGCTTCCCCGGATGCAGTTGCCAGGAAAGAAAAAAAGATGAAAACTCAAATCAGAGTCAGCAATTGAGCAAATCAGATAATTTCCCTTTAGGCGCTTATTCCGGCCAGACTCACGGCGAATCGCAACTTTTGCGATAGCGAACCTGCGGTCTAAGACTCTAAGGTGCCTTGTTAGCCTGTAAGGTAAGTAATTAGGTAGGGACCTTACGGTCGGCCGCGCCACTACGTCATCCCCTTGTTGATTTCCTTTCCCCGAGACCAATGACATATTACCCCCACAACGCGCGCCCCGGCCGGGAAGCTTGCGCACCAAGTGTCCGCACCAAGTGCCGATCGATGCCATGACTTCAGAACTTTTTTGGACCAGCACGACCAGGTAACTTGCAAGGGGCTGCCGAACGAACAATTCTACCTCGAGGAGGTACGGATAGAGAGAGTGCGCCCGACCGCAGCAAGCCAGGCCGGACCCATCGAGCAACCAACATGCGGGTAACGGGACGCCGATGACTCTCTTAAGTCCGCATACCCGACCTCCCGGGGCCACCTCAGTCCATTCTGCTCTCTTTTCCTCGATACATTGTCCAGGCACCGCCCGATGTTTGACGTACGCAGGCATCTCCCGCGCAACATTCATTAAGGACGCCTCCCACGCGCTCCCTGCCGCGTGTGAAACCTACAACCAACGAGATATCAAACGTGCTCAGATCCCCTTTTCGAGTTCTTTTTTTTTTTTCCAACCTTCAGCCCAAAGTCTCGTGATCCCTTCAAGGTCTACGGATACACAAGCAACGTTTGCGACAGTGAACAAGTCCTTTTCTGGTAAGTGATGCATCTCGAGTCCACTTTTTTCTTCAATCGTCATACCTCGTCATCACCACTCCCAATTGGCGTCGTGAGCCTCGTTGTAGTACACCAGCTGTGCCTTCACTGAACAGCCTTCTTTGGCGCGACACATCGTGAAATCCTTGGCAACACAAACTTACACCCCTTACAGAACAACCACAAACACCAAAACACAAACACACATACACATCCGCCCACCATGAGGATATTATCATACTGGATCTTCCCCATCATATCGGGCCTCGTCTGGCTCGGCATGCTCCTCGGCATGCTCCTCTACTGGATCATCGACACCCACCGCACAATCTACCCATCAATGTCGCCCCCGCAATCCATCGCCTACATCAGCGACGTCGGCGCATACTACCTCAAACCCTTATTCATCACCGGCTGCGTCCTCACCACCGTCTTCCTCGACCTTTCCTTCTTCTCCGACCGCTGGCTCCGCCACAAGGGTCGCCTCGTGCCCAACACTTCCATCGGCGAAAAGATCCTCTACGGCTTCACAATCTTCTTCGCCATCATCGGCACCGTCGGGTTGATTTGTCTCAGCATCTTTGATACCTACCGCCATAAGAACCTCCACCTGCTCTTCTTGTTATTCTTCATGGGCGGGTACCTGCTCTCGGCTATTTTCATTTGCTGGGAGTATCAGCGCTTGGGAATCAAGTACCCGGACCACACGTACCTCGCCGTCTCTTTCTGGATCAAGCTCGTCTTCATCCTCGTCGAGATCGTCCTGGCCATCGCGTTTATTGTCTGCAATTTCAAGGAGATTTACAACGCGGCTGCTATCCTCGAGTGGATCGTTGCCTTCATCTTCTCGTTCTACATCTTTTCGTTCACCGTCGACTTGTTGCCCGCGGCGAAGACGCGGAACAAGGCGCATCGGTTTTCGAAGCCGGGGATGAGTCAATGGACTGGCAGCGGGCCGGGGAACTTTTGAGGGGCGAGGGCCGATTTTTATGAGTGGTAATGGAAAATGGGAATGGGACACGATGAAAAGAAGAAGGCAAAGATAATGAGTTGGTGGATGGAGTAATCGCGGGCATGGCGAGGCTCGCGTTGTATGACTTGCATTTGCATACCCCCGGGAACAAAGATCATGAGCAACAGGCGTTTTGGGCGTATTATTCATTTTGCGCATACTCTATAGGTTTATAGTAGCATTTACAATCCATGGCATACGTGCGACATAATGTCCGTCCATTATTATTCTCATGTCCAGTGACGCAGTGGAAAGTCAATTGGTATGTAGGCCGGCATGGACCTACTTCCGTGCGTATGCATGCCGATTGCTGCGATGCCATCCCAACATCGAATGGGAGGATACTCCAAGCGCCTTGGGTGTAATGCATAGACTGAGTTAATTTGCAATGATGCTTGCTCGCCATGACCAGCTTGAAGTCCGTCAGGCCAGTACATGGTAATAGCACCGATAGGATTTGGATGTTGCTGTGACTGTGCGCACCTTTCCAACCGAGATGATTGCATTCACAACTTCGAGCCTTGGTACCTGAGTGTTTGGTTTACTATATTGATTTGAGAAAGAATAGTGGAAATGCTGATAAACGCACAACAATCGAGAAGCGATGTTGGACCTGTACGTGGAGAACGTATTGACCGTGAAATGCACTCCGACGCTCCTCGCTGTAAGTCCTATCCCACCTCCCCCTGCCTAACTGAAGTATTCCTCCATGATAAATAAATTCTATCCACCAACGCCATCCATTCTAAGTGAAGAAATGGCCGTCCATTCCGAAAATGCCCATACATCGTGATCTATTCAAGATTCTCTCGGAACCGCGAATCCCTCGTCGGGCTGTGCGTCTTGTGCGTATTCGGATCCCGAATGGCAGCCGGCGGCGACACAGGACCCTCGAGGTCATCACTCGCCTCGACAAAGTGCTCCGACTCAGCATCAGAACTGACGGGGCTCACATCACCCTCCTGTCCCACCGATCTAGACGTCGTCTCGCTGCCCTTGCCGGCGATAGCAACCTCTCTCATGCTCGCCGACCGCGCATCACCAAGACTAGTCGCGCTCTCGTTCGCGAGCCTCGTAAGCGCAACACCGCCGATGAAACCACGCTCCTCGGCGCTCTCCCCGGCCGCAGACCGGCCCCGCGGTCGGCCGAAGCGTGACTTGAGCCAGCTCTTCATCTTATTCGTCGGCGAGCCGCTGTCGCTCGGTGAGCGCGGGTTGTCACTGCCCGAGCTTTCTCTATTGGTGTTGATATTTCCAGGCTTATGCTGTCCTGCGCGGTTGACGCCCTGGTCGTCGCTCACGGGCGAGACTTCGATGGATTCTGCAGCTGCGACGGCCGAGTCGCCCGGCGTGATCTCGGGAACTTTGGATTTGCGCTTCTCCTCGGCTTTGACGGCCTTTTCCTCTTCCTTCTTGGCCTTGAGCGCTTGCTTCTCGCGGTGGCGCTTCTCTTTTTCTTCCTGCTTCTCTTGCGCTACGTGGTGTTAGAGATAGTTTTGAGCATAAAGGGGGAAAATGTCACTTACCGATGACCTTACGGTTGATCTCCTTAACCTCTCTGTCACGCTCCTTGCGCTTCTCCTCGTCCCTCTTCTTCGCTTCCGCCTCGGCCTTAAGCATCTCTTGACGTTCCCGCTCGATGGCCGCCTTCTCGTTGATCTCGTCGAGCACGGGCTGGACTCTCCTCGTAGCAATCTCATCGACTGCCGCAGGGTCCATGAACATGCCGCCGCCAATGTCGACCTTGCCCCTGTTCACGCTGGTAGACTCGTGCTTGGCCATGGCAGCCATCTGGGCCTTGGCTTCCCAGTCGCTCTTCCGATCGGTCTTTGAGCTGGGTGCCACCATGCCGGTCTCGGCTGAGATCTTGTCGTCCATGCCCTGTAGGCGGGCCTTGACGTTCCGTTGGGCGGCTGCTAGTAGGGCTTCGCGATCCTTTGTCCGCTTTTGCTCGTCAACCTTGGTCAAGTTGGAGGAGAAGATGGACATTTCTCTCCGAATGCGCTCGGATTGTTCCTTGTCGTGACTAGCGTCGCCGTCGCTCGAAGATCGCCGCCTGAGTTTCCCCTTCATAGTAAACCTCCGCTGAGGTGTGGCTTGGGTGTTGCTGCCGTAGTACTCCTGGTAGTCCCGATTCTGATGATGCTCCACGTGGAGTTTCGATAAACGTTCTTGCGCTAGCTTGTACGCCGCTTCCTGAAGGTTGACATAGGATTTGGGTTGGTTATCGTCGGGGCTGGTTTCTCCTGCAGCTTGGTGAACTCGTGCCTGGTCGACCATTCTTTGCTGTTGGCTGTACATCTTTTTGGCCATGGCCACCGCAGAGGCGTGGAGGACGTCGGCTCTTTTCTTCTCATCTTCCTCAGGTCCGATGGCGGGCTTGGAGGTGAACATGCTCCGGGGCAGGTTTGTGTACGGAACGGATCCAGTGTTTTCAGTGGGAGACTTTGGCTTCAAAGAAGGGCTGTGAGCTGCTGTGGCGGCACTCAAAGCGTTTGCGGCAGCTCGTGATTCTCCAGGATACGATTCCTTTGGCACAGGGGTCGACTTGGCTCGTGGCCTCGTCCTCCTGGACGCAGGCATGGCATTCTGGGCTGCTGAAAGGGAGCCAAGACCGGCAGTAGAGGGTGCCTGGGTGGGTTGTTTGACTGAGCGGCTTTGTTTGAATGCCTGGTTCGCAGCGCTGCTTCCCCAAGACTCGGTAGCAGACGGAGGAGGGGTCGTGTTGGTGGTGGACTGTTTCTTTGCTGAGGCGCTGGCCAGCAGAGCAGCCTTGGCCCCGGCAGAGCTTGAGTTAGGTTCCCACGATGGTGCCAATTTGTAATCCTTTGCGAGCATGGCTGCGGTTGATGCAGAGTTTGACTTTTTGGGTTTCCAGAGGTCGATTGATTTTTGATTAGCCCAACCTAGAGATGCGGCAGCTCCGGCAGCAGCTCCATCGGATGGGAGACCGGGGGATGGGAAGCTAGGTAGATCGCGCGGGTCGGCGTACTTTAATCTTCCCGAGTGGGCTGCTATATTCAGGGAAAAAGAGGATTCATGATTAACACAGATGCTTTCTTTATTCGGACCACCCAAGCAGAATTCTCGTATTCTGCAGGAGAGGATGAGGTAAGGTTTCAAGTTTACCTGTGGACGGTACCTGTGACCGTGTTTCCGCCATGGCTGTGCTTGACTTTTGCGTCTGCTGCGGCTGCGTCTGCTGCGTCGCTGTCTTGGAGGAGCTGGCTTGCATCATTGCCAGCCCGGAGCCGGCTTGGTGGTATCGATCCTGGAGGATATCCACTTTACCGCTGCGGATGCTTGCTCCTCACAGGGCGAATGTACCGTAGCGAGGATGTACAATACAGGGAACCTGAGAGGAAGGTCGAAAAGTGGGAAAGTTCGCAGCGGATTTGCGCCTTACACGGGTTGAGGTGGACGCGCGTGGGCAACGCCGCAGATGGGTTGACAACGAACAGAGGCTGATGTTATTTCTGGACCTGCTTACCCGTGTCGCAAGAGGGAGCCGTATCACGAGATGAGATGAGCCCTCGTCGTGCTAGGGTATGCTGCAACAAGTATGCGCCGGAAACTGGGAGTGGGAGGTCAAGGAGCTTGGTTAAACCAGAAGAGCAGAAAAATTGACCAGGAACGACGTCGAAGCGCAGGCGGGGGCTCCCGAAAGAGGGCATGCAAGTTATATCATACAACCAGAAGCAGATCTTTCTGGATCAAAGGGGGCACTAGGGGGGTGTACTATGCTGGCGGCGCGGCGCGAGCGAGCGAGAGAGAGCGCACGATGAGGTATGCTCCCCCAAATGGCAAAAACTGGTGTTGAGCAGGAGCCGGGTCAATGATGGTGATACGGCGTGCGCAGTTAGTGCTGGTGGCTACTGGCTAGTCGTACCACAGTACTCCGTAGGGAGCTGCGACGACAGCAGCGCCTTACGTCATGCGGGGTCTTTTCCCTTCCGTTTCGGGTGTAGCGATCTGCCATCTAGCACTTCTTGCCCCTGTCAACATCCACCAACCCCCCCCAAGCTCCTTTGAATCTTTGAATTGGGATTCCATTTCCCTTTGCGAACGACCGAATGACCAGGTCCCCCAGGAACTGGCAAACACTGGCACCACTGGGTTTGTTCGCCCACAACCACCTCAGCCAACATGGCCCATCGTCCGCTCCGTTGTGGCTTCGGTCCAGCACCCGCCCGTCTCTGGAGTCGGCCAGTCCGGACCCTGTCGCGCTGAGTGGCGGACCAGGTTCCAGCCTTTGGATTGGGCAATGGGTACCAGTAAGGCCTGGAGCCCGAGCTATCTACGGTCTAGGCCGAACACCTGTGACCTGGATCACCAAGCAGACAGAGGCTAGCCCTGTGGTGTGTCAGTTGTTCATAATCGGATCTACTTCTTTCACCGACTGGACTGCGAAGCCCGAGATGCCGTCCGTGATGAAGGCGACAACACCATCGACAAGCCCGAGATCCAAAAGTCTGAGCTGCAAGCTCTCTGGAGGCTTGCTGTCTCGCTCGACCCCTTTCATTGGCTTGAGTGGAATGGGTAAACAGTCAGCCACATCTCACATTGTTGATGGATGCGTGCTGCAAGCCTCTCAAGTGCTCCCAAATATAGCTTCAACTTGAGACGTTGATCCTTCCATCTGGCGCAGGCAGTCCAGATTAATCCGATGTCATGGAAAGCAAACTGCAATCCGAAAGTTTGCAAACTGCTGGTCACGTTGCGGTTGCTTTGATAAGACCGAAAACATTGAATGGGAGCAACCAAGACCGAGCTCATCTCGTAGACTTCACAGCCCAGACCTCCCCCGAGACCGCTCAAAATGCGCGAGTTCAGGCCGCAGCCGCAGTTCCCTGCGCGCAGATCTCTGTCCCAAAACTCAACCATCGGTGACATCAAAAGACCTCCTTCTCTCTCTCACACCCCGATCTTAAGCTTTTTGGAGACGTGCAGGGATCTACCGGCCCTGGCTAGGGATCCCAGCACGTCCAACCTCACCTCGGCTCCCTATCCGTCATTCCGGATGGGAAGAGGGCCCTACGTCGCTTGCACGTTTCCATTCCGATGCTCCGGATTTCTGTTCGACCTACCAAATCGTGGCGTCAGCCCCCCCTTCCTAAACATTTCACACCAAGAGCTGCTACCTTACCACGCACACTACCTACCTATCACACCCACCACACCTTGCCAACCTCTTAGCTGTCTGTACGCGCCGTCGGAACTGCTAGTCTCCAGCCGTTGACTGCTGACTACTGGTATCTGCAGCGCTTTTCCTACACCAAACTCCCGTAGAAGCTCTGACATTCTCAGTCATGGACAATAGGGGGATCACGTCTGTTCTCAACTTTCGTGATGTCGGCTCCACGGTGAACAAATTTCTTGGACGAAGGTATGTTCTCTATTTCAAGCTATTCTACCTGTACAGAGGCAGGTTGTGGGAAGCTGAAAGCTAATATCCGTGCGTTTGCTTGTCAGACTCGTAAGGGACGGCTTGGTATTTCGTTCTGCCAGACCAGGTATGGCACGCGACTCAAAATCTTCGCGAACACCCGTTTGATCCTCGTGCTAAACTCCCCTCAAGACGATGCCACTTTGGCAGACAGAAAACGCCTCCGCGAGGAGCTGGGCATTAAGGCAGTGATAGACTTGCGCACAAAGTAAGTTGCACGTGTTATTCCCCCGAGAAAAAAATAAATAAGATCTTCCTGTGGAATGCAAGATCTCGCAACTCTGATCAACGACTGACGACATCTTTCAGAACCGAACACGTCAAGCAACTGAAGAAGCGCGAGGCTGATCTCAAAGTGCCCTCCCTCTTGGAATCTAACGCTGCACTAGCCGAGCCATTCCAGATCTCGGGTCTAACGTATCACGAGATCAGAATCACTGGCGGCAACTTTGAGTGGTTCTTGATCAGACAAGTATCTTGGTGGGGTTTGTGGTGAGAAAATCCTGGCTTCCTATTCAAAGTCCTCCAACAGCGGCTGATGCATGATATGGAACATCTCTAGCCGCCTCATCGGCCTCTTTACTCTCGGCTACCGCAATGAGGGCATCTCTATCTTGTCTCGGGAGGTGATGCTGCCGCGTGGCCTTGTTGGTCTGGGCCTTGACACCCTCGATCAATCTGGCGAAGAGATTGCAAAGGTATGAACAGGACTTGCAACGGCTCTGTGTTTGAGTATCCCTAACAAGCTTCATGCGTAGGCTCTCAGGGTGTTTATCGACCCGGCGACTTCACCGACTCTGGTACACTGTACACAGGGCAAGGATAGAACCGGGCTGATCGTCAGTCTCGTTCTGTTCATCCTGGATGTACCGCTCGAGGCGGTTGAGCATGACTACATGCTGACCAGTGGTGCTCTCGAGTCCGAGAGAGAGGAAAGATTGGCAGAGATGAGAGAGATTGGTCTCACAGATGACTGGTTCGAAACGGCGCCTGACATGATTGCTCGGACCGCTCGTCATCTCGATCATGTCCACGGTGGACTCAACGGATACCTGGACAAGATCGGCTTTGGACAGGCCGATCGTCTCAAGCTCCGGGAGCTGCTGCTGTACTGATCCAGCGACTGAGGGGCTTAATTCGTCACCGAAGCTCCATACAGCCGTACAGTAGCTCATTGGCAAATCTCACTCGCCTCAGAACTCGAGTGATGTGAACTTTGGCTTTCTCATTTTTTCGTGAACCGTCCTTGCATCCAGCATCGGTACATCTTGAGCTTACGAGCCCTGTTGACGAGCATGCGTCTGTCGACACCAAGGTCATCGACGTTGAATGCAGCCTTGGCTTCGTCCGATGCTTCTTGTGTCTCGCCGGACCAGATTCGCTCGAGCTCTTCCTTTTCAAAGAAGTACACACGAGTGCCGTCGCCGCGCACGTAGAAATTTTCATCGAGGTAGCGTCCCTTCTTGAATCGCACTTGGGCAAGGTCACCTCTTCCATAGTCGCGGAAGCAGACCTGGCCACCCGGCTTGAGCAGACGGTGGACGTTGGCAACAGCTTGGTTCCATTGATTCGGAGCCAAGGCGGAGAAGATGAAAATGAGTATAGCAACGTCCACAGATCCTTCCTCTAGCCCGGGAGGGAGCTCTTCGCTCGTAACGTCCCAAACGTCGGCTTGCATGTGGTCTTGGTTGTAGGATTCATGGGTCCGCATCACCTCTACGGCCTGCTTCGAATAATCACAGGCATGGACTCTCAAGTTTGGGTTCTTGTTGGTTGCGAGAATGGGAAAGGCCGTGTTACCCGCACCAGCGCCTATTTCAAGGATCGTCTTCTTGCCAGCGTCCTCCTTGGTCACCTCGGACAAGATAGGGAACTCTTGCTGCAGCCACTTTCTGTTCTTGAAGAAGTTGGCTGTGTTGTTCTTGTAAAACAAATCCCACATTCTTGCTGGGTTGTTGTTTAATCTGTCTGAGGATTCTTGTTAGCAAGCTGTACCAAAGCAAGCGTCTTTCAAATAACAATGAGTAATGATAGTGGTGTAGTCAGATGGGAGCGAAAGACTAATAAGGAAAGTTTTCATCATAGAATTCAGATGAACTATGCGTTGTGCTGGAGTATCATCATAACACCAGGTGGAGAAAAAATAAAAACGCGAGGTATGTGAACTTACTTTTGTCAAAGTCGGAGACCGGAGACTGACGCTGCATCTCGTACTGCTGCTCAGAGTACTCCTTGTACACTTCGTCAGTCTCGACATGGTCCCAAGCGTTGAACTCGAAGACATCGTCCTGTTCGCCCAGCAAGCGACTGCCAAATTGAAAAGGATCGCTCCTCTTTTGGTTGAACTGAGGATCATGCGACCTGTGAGCCGCAGGCTCTTCCTCGGTTGCAGGCTGGGAGATCTGGAGCTCCGCCGCCTTCTCGACGAGAACTTGCTCGTCCGCCCCTGTGTTCTCAGACGTAAGAGAAGCCATCTCACTGGTGTAGAGCCAAGACGAACTATTCGACAGGTTCACGACCGGTTTCTGTGTGGGCGGCAGCCTGACTCTCCAAATCCAAGTGTTTGTTGGCGAAGGAGGAGTGGTTGGGATGAAAAAGCTTTCTGAAAATTTCCTCCGCGTCGAACTTTTTGTCTCTGAAAAAAAAGTCATGGTGGGACCTTCGGGGTGAAAAAGCGCCGTCAGCCGATGCGACCAATGCCTGGGCGTGGTGGACCCACTTGCAGCTTCCGCCATTTGCAGTGAGGTTGTTGTTGCCAGACGCCAGGTTCGGCGGAGTGGGAGTATTGGGGAAAGAGCTTAGAATCGGTACGTACCTAAGCTAGAGTGGTTCGCGGATTGCAACTGCCTCCCATGCCTCAGGTACGGTCAACTTGGATAATCCTCAGTCAACGTCTACCCATTGACGACACCTGATCGCGCAACTCCAACCATCTGCTCATCATCTGTACGCATCTCGTTCGATCGATACGCCAGCCAGAAGGCCTGCCCGCAACAATGGCACCGTCCCTTACCCGCCCCCAGGGCCACCTGTCCCCAGCCGAGGCCCTCGAACTTGCCCAGAAAGCGCCTACGATTCTGCGAAACAACCCGACAGCGTTCTCATCATCGCCCCTTATTTCGCTTTTCTCGGCCTCGGAGACGCCCGAAATATGGACCATCTACGAGAACCTCCTCCTGGCCTGCCTGCGAACGGGCGACACCCAAGCAGCACACCAGTGCCTCGAGAGACTGGTCATTCGATTTGGCAACGAAAACGAGCGTATCATGGCTTTCAAAGGCCTAGTGAAAGAGGCGGAAGCCGACAATGATGGAGAGCTTGCACAGGTACTCAAAGAGTATGAGACAATACTAGGACAGAACGCGACAAACATTGTTAGTTGTCCCCCCGCCATAGTGTCACGGCAAACGCTGACCTTGACAGCCTGTCGCCAAACGTCGTGTCGCCCTTCTGAAATCGACCGGAAAGACGTCTGAAGCAATCGCGGCTCTCAATGGTCTCGTTGACTTCAACCCTACAGATGCCGAGGCGTGGGCGGAGCTTGCCGACTTGTACCTCTCCCAGGGGCTGTACTCACAAGCTATATATGCGTTCGAAGAAGTGCTTGTACTGACCCCGAACGCATGGAACGTGAGTGTGCCTCATGGAAACGAAATCCGAATTTGTTTTCTCTGGCTGACCACTACTAGATGCACGCTCGTCTCGGCGAGGTGTTGTACATGGCCGCGTCGGCCTCTGAAGGCTCTTCGCAGCAGCAGTTGACGGAATCCGTCAAAAGATTCAGCCGAAGCATCGAGCTTTGTGATGATTACCTCCGGGGTTACTACGGACTGAAACTGGTGGGTGCCATAACGGGTGGTATCGACCAGCAGGTGGAGCTAACATGCTCTCTAGGTCACGAACAAACTTATCAAGGAGCCCTCGAAGCCGTCAAGACAATCAGACTCGGAGGAATGGACCCTTCCTGACGTTGGTACGTTACAGAAGCTCAACGAGCTAGCAACTCAGAAGCTGGCCGACATTGTACGCCGGAACGGAGCGCATGAGAGGCTCTGGCAAGGTTACGATGAATCGGAAGTAGCAGCAGCGCGAGACCTGCTCTCGAAGGAGTCGGTGGAGCTTGTGCGATAAGCACCGCGTCAGTCGAACACGAAAAGCAAACGACTGTCGATTCTCTCATACCGTGACTGCATGGTCACGTTGACGGATTAGCATGCCAACCTGCGTGCTTCATGCACATCACATCAGGCGAGCAGCCATCATCGGTACAGGCTGTACGTCGGAATTAGCAAGCAATCGGAACTTTCAAATCAAGTAATTAACGAAGCTGTGCCTGCAACGAAACGTTCACGTGCTACTGGCAATGCGCAAGTATCCTTGGCCAATCGGCCAGCCAATCGCGAACACGTCACTCAAGGTTGGAACACAAAGATGCATTCAGCGAACGGCAAATCGTGTCGCTCGGGCGCTGTTTTGGCCCCAATTCATGTCGAGTCGAAGCTTGGGAGACTCTTAAGCTACTGGGCAGGAACAAAAGCGATTCGAGCAGTGGGAATGTTTTACACATAGGCAGAGGCCGCCGCCAATACCCTCGAATGAATTACCTACCGTTCCCATTTCTCGCCTCGAGGTCCATCGCTCCCGTCGCGGCCACACCCGCAGTCGTGCCCAATTGTCGCAAACTAACAGTCAATAAGTCGCAGGGCTGCATGTCATCCGAGGTTCCAGGCGTACCGTTGGGAGCCCGATGGGCCAAGGCGGCCCACAAGATGCGCTGGCAGTGAGTCAGTGAGTTGATCCACGGATGGATCTCAGGCACCGTCATTCGGGACCCTGGCTACCTATGCAAAACAGAGTGCGCCAGCGTTAAGACTCGAGACCCGTCGGGCAACGACGAAGCGGCTTCGGGCTTGAGGGCCTGTTGGAAGAAATGGACTGACGAGATGTACAGGTGCCAATCAAGTTGCGCGGTTGACTTTGAGGTGTCACGTATATATCCGGGCAGTGCCATGTAAGTAAGCCGAAGGCAAAAAAACAAGCACTTGTGTCGGTACCAAATTCTTTGACCGCCCCTGTTATCCCCGTATTTTCTCGACTTGCCTGGCGCTCTAGACGACGAAGAAAGAAGAATAAGCTAGAAGTCGAGAGACGCCCACGAGATACCTACCACAAGATACCTATCACAAATCGAGCCAGTCATTCGCAGAAGACGACCATTGACCATTGTTACACAAACTCTGTTGGACCGCTCGGAAGGCTGTTGCCGCTATTTTTGGCCACGACTACTCTTCGAAACCATGTCGTGTATTTCAAAGAACGTTACTCCTCGAATTATCAAGCAACTAGACAAGACCAAATACCCATCACACGTCACGGGAGAAACCACTTGAGGATACGGGAGCGCCTGAAAATACGTGCCCAACATTGTGAAAAGTACGATTGTTAGTACCGCTACTGAGATTGTGTCGATGTGTTGTCATGTGAAGCAGGCTGCGTGATTGATTGCATAGGACTGCTACCGAAGACGATGGGTATGGAACGACAGAGGGGTTCAACGATTCAACCATGGTGGAGACCTACTTCGGCGAAGGTATACCTAGCGCCGCAGAGGGCGGCTGGGTACGGTACCTTAGGTTGGTCATGACCCGGAAGTGAGCGGCGCTTCCAGCCAGCCTCCAACAAGGCCGAGAATTCCAGAGGAGGCTGCGGCGCTTTTCAGCGTCGACTTCCTGCGGCGCTGCTCCGAGATACGGTGAGAGAATGAGCGAGTAAGGAGGCGCGAGGGGAGAGCCACAGCTGACTGACGGCTGCCTGGACTTTGGTTCATTGACAAGGACCTAAAGTGCAGGTGCAGTGAAGGATACAAGTTGGGAGGCGTGACAGGTAAGAAAGGCAGGTAAGGTGAGGTGAGGTAAGGTACGTTCATCCTCGACTTCCTACTGGTGCTCGGAACGGCGCAAGTCAAGTCGATGAGCCCGAATGGCCGGGCATTGGCTTTTGATTGCCCTAAAAGCAGGACGGGATGTTTCTGCACTAGGGGATTGCGTACGGAGTACCCAAAGCAGTAGGTATGAGCCTGTCGCGCCGACGCTTCCAGGTTCCCATGGATTTGCATTGATGATGACCTTTACTGCGATAGAGAGTAGAGGCCTCGTCGTCCCTCACTCCGT